ATGTGATTGATAAGGACATATTTAAATAACTCTTAAATTTTTTTATGACACAAAAATGTATTTAAAAAATTTTTTAATCTGTTTAGGAAGGAAATGATTCAACTACAAAAGTTTTAATTTGAAAAAGAATTTTTAGGTATGCGCCAAAAGGTTCTTTATAAGGCGATTAAACGCCAAAAATTAAAATTGGCGTTTTTGTCTGTTGAAGGACTTGTCTGGCGCACAGTTAAAAATTTTGATTTTTAGATTAGCCTCGAATGATCACTCCTAGCTGGTTAATGCGACATTTGAGTGACATTAGAGTCTGTCACAACATCACCAGACTCTAATGGGTTGAGTGCATAGCTAAAAGGACACAAGAGTCTGAAATATTTTTTCGTGTTCTGAGACTCTAATGGACTATAATTAATGGAATACTCAAAGTGAGCTTTTTCGACAGAAAATAAAAATACATTAGAGTCTGGTACACTTTAGAGACCGGCAAAATCGCAATTCCGGAATCCCGAGTCGGGATTTTTTTCTTAACCGATGCCGGGACGGAATCCCAAGGGATAAATCCCGAAAAAATCTCGGATCCCGAAGAATCCCGAAAATCAAAAAAATCCGGGATTTCGGGATCCTGGAAAATCCCGTCGGGATCCCGTCCTGCGCCGGTCTCGAGTACACTCTCCTTCAAAATTTGGTGCCAGACTCTAATGGAGTTATTTGTAGGTGATAAAATGGGTATGAAAAATAAAATGAATGAGCATTTTGTTGCACTTTAAATTTGAAAAATTTTTTTTGTAATTTCGGAGGCGATAAAAGAATGAATTTAAGGAAATAAAACTCGAGAAAAAAATTTTATTTTTTAGTATAAAAATGACAATGTTTGTAAGGAAGAGAATGTTTAGCAATAAAATTTTTTTTAATAATACTATAATGTTTGTGTACTTATTGTCTTTTTTTATTTGTTTTGTTTGACTATTCAGTGTTGGGACGGAAAAAGAATAAAAAGGAAAGATAAAGAACAGATTTTTGATGAGGGAAAGAAGACTAGACGACATTTGCGGAGCGACATATGCGAACAAAATGGATTTTCTTGAAATCGGAACAAAGGGGACACTTGAGTCTTGACTGGTACAGTATCCTAAATTTACGGGCCTATTTTTGGAGGAATAGGCGGCTTCCAAAAATTTTTTTCCAAGAAAACTTTTTTGGGGTGTGCGCAAATGTCGGTACGCAAATGTCGTTCTACCAGTAAATAGAGGAGGAAGAAAGGGAGAAAAACTCGCGCAATACTCAAAAATAAATAAAAATAAAAAATGCTCAATTGGCTTGGCCAATCTTTTTTTTTATTTAACAAAAAAATATTTTTTCCGGTCCGCCTGTTTAATTACAGAATTACAATAACAATATTTTTGACAAATAGACGAGAAAAGAAGAAAAAAAGTTTTTTTATTGTGCGCAAAGTTGGTAGTGATGAAAAAAGGGGGAAAAGTGAAGGGGAGTTTAATTTAGTAAATAAAGTTTAGAGTGAATTTTTCCTCTTGAGGAGTGTAGAAATTTGGAGGAAAAATGAAGGAAAACAAGGAAAATATTTAAAAACTTTTTTTGAATTAATTTCTTTTTTGGCGTTCTGTTTATTTTTATTTTTGTTAAAATTGGGCTGCGCCCCAAAATGTCCTACCCCCAAAATGTCCTCCTCTAAAATGTCCTCCCCCAAAATGTCCTAGTGAATAAAAACCCCCAAAATGTCCTAGTGAATAAAAACCCCCAAAATGTCCTCCCCTAAAATGTCCTACCCAGAAAATGTCCTACCCTATTCCTTCTTTGGAATTCGGGTAATTTTACTTTAAAATCCGGAAAAAAGGTTTCCGGAAAAGCCGGAAAATGTTTTCCGGAAAAGCCGGAAAATGTTTTCCGGAAAAGCCGGAAAATGTTTTCCGGAAAAGCCGGAAAATGTTTTCCGGAAACCCGGAAAATGGTTTCCGGAAAATCTGTACTATTCCGGAAGCCATTTTCCGGAATTTTCCGTAAGTTATTTTTCGAGAATTTCCGGAAATCATTTTCCGGAAAAATTTCTCCACTTATTCTCTAAACAACTTCATGTTCAGAAAAACGTCCCCAATTTGTTTTTAATTTATAGTTCGACGAATTGAGTATTTTAATCCGTTTGACATTTTGAGACTGGGACATTTTTGAGGGAGGACATTTTGGGGGTTTTTGTTCATAAGGACATTTTGGGGGTTTTTATTCATTAGGACATTTTGGGTGAGGACATTTTGGGGGTTTTTGTTCATAAGGACATTTTGGGGGTTTTTATTCATTAGGACATTTTGGGGGTAGGACATTTTGGGGGGTTTTTATTCATTAGGACATTTTGGGGGTAGGACATTTTGGGGGCGCGCCTAAAATTGGGACACGCCCGACTTGCCGCGGGCCGACTTGTCGCGGCCGACTTGTCGCGACCGACTTGCCGCCGGCCGACTTGTCGCGAGGCCGACTTGTCGCCGGCCGACTTGCCGCCAAGCTTTTTAATTAACACTCCCCTTCCACAAGGTCTACGCGGAAAAAAGTTTTTGCCGCTGCGGAGGAAGCCGGGCATGTCGAGCGGAACGACGGCCGCCGCTTCGCTACGGTCGCCGCGAGCGAAGCGAGCACGACCGCAGCGAAGCACGGCCATCGTGTAGCGAAGACCATGCCCGGCCTACCCTTCGTAGCAGCACAAAAACAGTTTTTCCAGCGAAGATTCTGTTGGTCATAACCTTGTTCAGAATCATCCAATCGAGCTGATTTTGGTGTCATTCGACTCAGCTCGACGAGCTCTTTCGATTGACATATAAATTGTCCAATTTTGAGTCTGGTACGGAAACTGTAGTTAGGGGTTTTTTAACTTTGGAAAGTTTTTTTGTAAAATTTTTGTTTTATAATTCAGCATGGTCCCATTTGATGGTCGTTGGGACCATTTTAATTGATTATAAATCAGAATATTTAATTAAAAAGCTTGGCGGCAAGTCGGCCGGCGACAAGTCGGCCTCGCGGCAAGTCGGCCGGCGGCAAGTCGGTCGCGACAAGTTGGCCGCGACAAGTCGGCCCGCGGCAAGTCGGGCTGTACCGGGTACAGCCCAAGTAGGCGCGGGCCAAGTAGGCGCGACCGAGTAGGCGCGACCGAGTAGGCGCAGGCCAAGTAGGCGCAAGGCCAAGTAGGCGCACGGCCCAAGTAGGCGCAAGGGTAAATTTCTTAATTTTTACCCCAAATTTTTTTTATTAATCTTCAACTAATTTTGTTAATTAGTTGGCTGAATAATCAAGCAACTTTATGTGGACACTGGACTTTTTCTAAAACTGCCCTTCTTAGGGAAAAAAATTTATTAAGTGAAGCTCGTTGATGTTTTTATTTTTTGATAAAATTAAAAAAAAATCTTTTAATATTTTTCTCATAAAAGCTCCATACTTAGCTGCTGATAAGTTTTGGATTATTTCTAAGTTTGTTAATCAGTGAGAGCCATGCTGCTTTGATAATTCCTGTGGCTTACCAATGTTATGAATACTCTAACTAGTTCAACTAGTTTAAGGGGGACTAACTAGTTAGCCTTTAGGAACTAACCAGTTTAAGGGAACATGAAGTATATACAAAGGTACAATTAACAATCAAGATACGACTATCAAGGCGTTTCACAAAAAAGTCCAGCTACAGTTAGGAGTCTTTTGATGATTAAAAGCTTTTAATGGATTAAAAAATAAATATACACTTTTGAACTGCCTAGTTAATGCATACAGTACGAACGTATACTAACAGGGTATCGATATTTAAGGTGTTTTTCTTCTAAAATAGGTACCTTTCTTCTAATTTTTATCAAGAATCTTTCTTCTAACTCATTAACATAAAAATATATATACTGACTTATTTTTTAATTTGAATATTTTAAGCTAAAAGATTTGCGCCTACTTGGGCCGTGCGCCTACTTGGCCTTGCGCCTACTTGGCCTTGCGCCTACTTGGCCTGCGCCTACTCGGTCGCGCCTACTCGGTCGCGCCTACTTGGCCCGCGCCTACTCGGGCGTGTCCCGGCTGTACCCTTTATTTTTGTTAAATTACGGCCATTTCGGCGCAAGGAGATATTTCTTACCTCGTCCATTTATCGTGTTATAATTCTTTAATAGGTGATCAAACGTGATCCATCCTATTGGAAAAAAGATAGCGTCTTTCGAGGGCTTTCGAATGGTATAAAATTTATTCAGATTGGTTCAAGAATAAAAAAGTTATAGTCAATCAAAGCAGGCTGGTGCTCACTTGGCACGTTTCTGTTTGTAGCAGACCTACAACTTTTTATAGAATTTTACTTTGAGGATAACAATGGTTCTATTAAATAGAGCAGAAAATTTGCTATAAAATAGGCCTTTTAGAATTTTTTTGATAAGGTATAACAACAGTTTTAGGGCAAGTTTTAAGGTTGCGATAGAATCTACTAGTTATGATGGCAACAAAGTGTCCGTATTTAATTTTATTTTTTGTCTGCCACGTCAATAATCTTTTTTCTTTTGTTTTCTTGGTAATACTGAAGAATACAGACCCGATTTTTTCCTCCCCAATTTTCCCCCTATATTTTTAAAAAATGGTCAGACTTTTTCCTTCCTTCCATGCAATTTGCCTTTCTAATTTTTGCCTACAATCAAAAAAAGGATTATTTTTGATATTTTATTTACTGTTTTAATAGAGAAAATGAGTCTTCTCAAAAACTTATACTTGTCAAATACCAAAAATAATCCTTTCTTTGATTGTAGGCAAAAATTAGTAAGGCAAATTGCATGGAAGGAAGGAAAAAGTCTGACCATTTTTTTAAAAATATAGGGGGAAAATTGGGGAGGAAAAAATCGGGTCTGTATTCTTCAGTATTACCGTTTTCTTTGTTTGTTGAGGGGTTTTGTTGTTTTTCGTATGTTTTGAAATTTTTTGGAATTTTTAAAAATTTTTTAGTGTTTTTAAATTTGTTTTTAATTTTCAGATTTTTTAGCTTAAAAAATGTCAAAATTCTTTCGTAGTGCTGTTTCTAGTTCAAGTGGCTCTGAAAGTGGTGAATCCGATGTTGAGGCTCCAGTCGCTCAAGCGCGTCCATTGTAAAAAATTTTTTTGAGGTTTTTTGAAATTTTTTAAATTTTAGAGGACGCCAAGATTTTGCATATCCTAGCGATTCGGAAGATGAAGGGCCGAAAAGAGTTGTTCGAAGCCAGAAAGACAAAACATTTGGGGAATTGAAGGAATTGATTCGAAATTCGAGGAATGCTAGGAATATTAAAGATGTTTCAAAATTGTTAGGAAGTAAGGGTTTTTTTTATTTTATTGGGTTATAGACGTTAGATTTAATTTTAGTATTGAGAAATCCCAAGGATACCCGATATCTCTACCGAGCAATTCCATGTATCCAAACTTTGGGGCCGGTCATCCGAGTATGTCAACAGTTACGGCCCCTAGTTTTCCTATTTTTCTGTGTATATTCACCTTATTTTTACATATCTCACGTAAAAACTACAATAAGTTTTGAAATTTTGAATTAGAAATTGGCTTTGAACTGTTGCTGAAAGTGGGAATTTAGGACTAAAAATTCCCAGTCATTCTACAACATTAATTTTTTGAGCTGGAAAGTGGACCTGGTATTTTTTGGCACTTAAAGGGCTGGGATGGGCTCTTAGAAAATAAAGAACAAGCGGGGCAGATCCCGTCCTTGTTACATGGCTCGAACAGTGACTTTACTTTAATAAATTTTATTTTTCTAGTTTTTGAGGAACATATAAAAAGCTGGGAGAAAGCAAAATTAATTCTTGCTCGTGAAAATGGTGGAATTCCTCGTTTTTATATTCGATATTTGGTTGAAGTAGATGATTTTGTGAATGAACAGTGGGAAGATAAAGAAGGGCGTAAAACAATGTCAAAACAAAATGCAAAAGCTTTGGCAACTTTTCGGCAAAAAATTAAAAAATATAATAAAGAATTTGAAGAACAAGTGAATTCTTATAGAGAAGAGCCTGATCCTTTAGGTTATTCGAGTGGAGCTTTGGAGAGCAATGAGGAGGATGAAATTGATGGAGATGAGGTTCGAAATTTTTTGTTTTAATCGGGTGCTTTTGGAATAGGTCTGACAGATCCGGGGAAATCCTTGGATATTCAATTCAATATCCGAACAGGGTATTTCGGATAGCCAGTCTTTTTCGGATCCGGATACGCCTACCCTATTCTGGGCCACGATGCTTTGGTCGCAAGCCGCGATTCGTTCTACCGCACAGCTTATAAGTTACACATTTGACCTTCCTGACTTTATGAAAGTCGAATCTAGTCAAGCTACGTGTGATTTGGGTTATATCGTCGAGTTGATTTGAGTCTGGTGACGGCTAATAGACTTGTTTTGTCGTTTTTTTACAGTCTTGTGGTAGACTAGGATCGTGGCAGACTTGTTCCGAGTAATATACTCAAAGGATGACGTGTCCGGTCAGAAAAAAAATTTATAATTTTTAGATTCCTAATAATATTCCTGCTGCTGTTCCAGCAAAGAAACCTAAAGCTGTTCCTGTCAAAAAGAAAGTTGTTCGTGATGCTTCTGGTTCTGAAAGTGAGGAAGACGAATCTGACTGGGGAACGGAATCAGATGAATCTTCTGCTTCTGATTTGGAACCTTTAGAAGGAAAAGAGATGGAAGAATTACGACGTTATTTTCTCAAGTTTGTTTTCATGATTTTTAAAATTAATAAGGCAGCTAGTATAAAAATCTAGGATTTAAGGGCACTAAATATTTTCAAAATTGAAATTTAGAAAAGACTCGGGCCCTTTCCAGAGGATTCCTGCTCTCCAAAATTATTACCTTCGACCCTTGGATAATTTTATTTTTTGTGATTTGGCTGTCTCAGGGATATCACAGGTTGAATAACAGTCTGGTCCAGGTTTCATAATGTTTTGCGGGTTGGATTCTGTGTTGGAAAAGTCCGACTTTCGGATAGCCCGCGACATCCCTTGTGTTTGTGGATATTAAATTTATCTATAGGAAATTCATTACACTCTTTTTGTGGATTTATCCGTCATATTTTCTCGAAAAAATTTTTTATCTTATAATTTTTAAGAAAAGATAAAACCGTAACAAAAGCCAAAGATAAAGAAGAAAAGAAAGCTGCATTACGTCTTAAAGAAGAAAAGCGTCGAGCAATTATTGATGAAGAAGATGCTGAAAAAGAAAATCAAGTTTCCTGGGAAAAAGTAACATACAATAAAGATGCTGTTAAACCACTTTTTGATAGTAAAGAAGAAATTACTGGAGAATTGGTAATTAAAAAATTACAAGAATTAAATACAAATAGAGGAAGAAAATCAACAAACAAAAAAGTTTATGGACGTTATTTAAAAGAACTTTATAAAGTAACTGAAGAAAATGGATTAGGAATTGGTTTATCGGCAAAAATTTTGACGGTTGTAATTTCTTCGCTTTTTGAGATGAATACGAGAATTAGTGATGCTATGGAATTTAATTCGTGGACTAAGTTTGTTTTGCGGGGTTTTTTGGGGAGATTAGAATGGATAAGGGAAAAATGGGAATAAGTGAGATGAGGAGATTATTTTGATTTTTGAATCACTTTGAGATCTGAGGCTACCTCCATATCCGAATTCGCCCTCTTGTTACGCTCTCGCCCTTGAATTCGATCCCTGGATATGCTCTTGCATTTCTCGGACTAACAATAAGTTTGTTTGGGTTTTTTAATATTTTTCTGAGGGATTGGAAAGGATAGGGGAAAAATGGGAGTGAGTGGGAGATGAAGGATTGTCTTCATCTTGAGTTTATGTCAGATGATAGCCGTCTCTGCTCCGGAATCCGATCCCAAATCAGTTCCATAGATACGCCTTTGCGTTCGAGTTGGTTTACCCCAAAAGTAGTCGGTTTCTGTAACGGAGTTGTCAGGTCCGCATATAAAAAAGGTCCAAGAAAAGATTTGGGTGTTCAAAAATAATATCGGTTTGAACATTGATCCAATTCCTGATATTCGGAGATTTCTCAAAAACCGTCAACCTACCTCTGAATTTTTTTTTCAATTTAATTTTTTACCTTAATATTTAAAATTTAATTATAATTTATAGATCTGTTGAAACAGTTAATCGTCTTTTAAACCTTTTAAATGAAAATCCTAATGTGATTATTTCAATTTCAACAGGGGAGGATGAAGAGAATATTTTGGTTTTTTTTTAAATTTTTTTTTCTGATTTTAAACTTAAAAAAATTTTTTTAAAGGACAAAACAAAGCCTTTTCTTATCCACGGTTCTGTTATTTTAATGGTCAAACGTTTGGATGATGAATTAACAAAAATTTTTCAAAGTACAGATTGTCACAGTACGGATTATATTGAAAAGTATTTTAATTTTTAGGAGGATGTAAAAATTTTTTTGTTTTTAGATTAAAAGGAGAATCGTCTTTTTGTTCTTTAATAGAAAAAGCACAATTATATGCTGATGGTCAACATAAAACGGGAGTTGTTGATCAAAATGAAATTTTGTTGATTTATGGGCTTAGAATAGAACATTTGTATTATAAGGTTGATTTTTAAAATTATTTTTTGGGTAGATTAAGGGTTTTTTTCTGGAAGGTTTTACTTTTTTTTTGATTCCAATGGCTATGGTTTCCATTTTTAAAAAATTTCTTGAACTGGTTTCCGATTCCTAATTGATGTCAGTTTTGACTGTTTGCCGTTCCGTGGTTCTGAAAGGACGGTCCCGTAGTAAACTAGTTATCCAAAAACGAATTTCAGTTGAAAGATTATATCTAGATAAGGGGTATAGGAAAAAGTCTGGTAGATGAAAAAGTCGAGTAGGAGTTCGGATCAGGTTTTAAAAAAATTTTCGGATCGGATATTGAATCGAAAAATCGTATGGGGTTCGGATTTTGGGTATCAGATTTCGGATAACCCGTCCAATCTTTGGTCTGGACTAAAAGTGGGTTAAGAAAAGGGCCCTCTCTAAGTTTTGTAATTTAGACATTTTCTTGAATTGGTCCTTTAAATAATTTTCTATTATTTTTTAAAGTATTCAATTAATGAAGAGGAAAGTGAAAAATTAATGGAATCACTTTGCAAAGTTATTTATTCATTTAAAAATGCACCTTTAGCACGGCAGAGAGCAATGCTTTCGCAAATATATCATCATGCTCTTCACGATCGTTGGCACAAAGCTAGAAATTTGATGTTAATGTCTCATCTACAAGCAATTGTTGATCATTCTGATGCTAATACGCAGGTAAAAAAATATTTTTAAATTTCTGAAAAATATTTCAAAATGGTAACTAGAGGGAAATGTTACAAAAGGGTAAAATTTTCAAATGGGTAAATTCAAATTTAACTAAAGATCGGCACGGGGCGGGATCCCGGGCGGAGTTTTACGGGATCCCTTTTCGGAATCACGGGTTTTGAGCTAAAAACGGGATTCCGAGATTCACGGGATTAATATCGCGGGATCCCGTCCCGAATAAATTGTTGAAAAAAATCCCGTTACGGATCCCGGGCAGAGCTGCACGAAAATAAAATTTTTCCCTCAACGAAACGAAAACGAAAAAAATAAATTCATCAGTAAACGAAACGAAAACGAAACGAAAAAAATAAATTTCATTTTTACGAAACGAAAGAAACGAAAAAAATCTCAATTTTCACGAAACGAAACGAAACGAAACGAAAAAAAATCAAAATTATAAATCTTTAGATTTTAATGCTAGATAATAAGTTTTTCGAGGTTATACGTGTCTAAATGTATCAAATATTTGATTGAATTCAAATATTAGCCTCCAAATCCTTTGATATCTCTTCAGATACTATGATATCCACTTAATCCATCATATTCCCTGATATTCCCGATTTAGGAGGTAAGAAATATATCGAGTGATATGGAGTAATTAAGAGGAAGTGTGTGGATATTATTAGGTGAGATATTTAGGGGCTAAACGATTTAGAAGCAATATTGATATTCTCTCGGATACCCGTATTAATCCACAAAAATCTTCTAATGCTCTTTGAATTCTTATATCCCGCCTCATTCTCTATCCATTTAATTTCTCTATTTCCCCAAATTTACTTCCAAAATTGCCCATTTAATTAAGGTGGTAACGGGAACTACCTAGGTCGGGATTCCCAAAAGGGAACTAGGAGTTCAACGTTAAAAACAATAGTCGAAAGTGTGTTGAGGTTGATGAGCGTCTTAATCCCAAAGATTAAGACGTGGCAAACCAAAAAGGATGTCAAACCAAAAAGGATGTTACCCATTCCTGATCTGGAACTCAGATCCCCGATATCCTTCTATATCGACTGATATCCTCACCCTTGATCCAAATCACTTCAAAAAATCAGTAAAATGACCTAGGCAAATCAAACTGAAGATACAAGGAACCGTTTTTAGCGCCGCAGGCGAAAATTTGAGAAATTTGGAAGCCAAGAAGCCAGATTTCTTACATTTTCAGCGCCGCAGGCAAAATTTTTTTGAATTTTCAGTTCCCGGGAGAAAAATTTACAATTTTTGGCTTAATAATACTAGTAAATAGAAAAAAATTGCCTAAAACTATCGAATATTATTTTCGTCATTTTCGTCTAAAAATAGAGTTTACGAAACGAAAATGAAACGAAAATATTTTTTTAACGAAATACGAAACGAAAGAAACGAAAAAAAATATTTTCAAACGAAACACGAAACAAAACAAAAATCATCAAAAATCCACGAAAATCTACGAAAACGAAACGAAACGAAAAATTTTCGTGCAGCTCTGATCCCGGGAATGCGATTTTACCGATCTCTAATTGTAACCATTTAAAATAATTTTCAAAATTTTGTTTAAGGTTCTTTACAACCGAACAATTTGTCAACTCGGTTTGTGTGCATTTCGCCATGGTCTGATAAGAGAAGCGCATCAAAATCTTTCTGAAATTCAAAATACTCAGCGTTCGAAGGAATTACTTGCTCAGGGTATTCCACCACGTCAATCTGAGAAAACGGCTGAACAGGTTTTTTTGGGGAATTTTTAATTTCTTAAGAGGATTTTTGACACTGAGGAGAGGGGGGAGGGTAGTGGTAGGAGAAGTCATTAATATAATGAATTTGTTGGTGGCAAATTCTTAAGCCCAATTTCCATTGGAATATTCTTCTCGTATTGAAATAGGATTTTTTGTTGCGGTTCTGGATATCCAAAGATTTTTTAAGAACTAACCCATATTCCTATATATCCATCCTCTCAATTTTATGTTTTTTTTTGTTGATTAACTTCCAACCTCCTAAAAATCATTTTTGAAAGTCATCAAAAAATTCTTAAAAAAAATTTTTTTTCTTTCATTTTAAGGAATTAAAAGAGCGTTCTCTTCAAGTACCCTATCATATGCATATAAATCTTGAATTAATGGAGTGTGTCTATTTAATATGTTCAATGCTGTTAGAAATCCCCAACATTGCTTGTTATGAATACGATGTTCGTAGACGTTTACTTTCTCGTTCATTTCATTATCAACTAAAATTCTCTGAAAAATCAGCACTTATTGGACCACCAGAAAATACTCGAGAACATGTTGTTGCTGCTTCTAGAGCAATGTTGAGGGGTGATTGGATCAAATGTCGTGATTATATAATTAATGATAAAATGAATGCAAAGGTTATTTTTAAATAAATTTTTATTTTTAAAGGGTTTGGGGGGAAAGAAAAGTGAGGAAATTTTTTAACGAAAAAATTTTTTTCCTTTCTATTGGGTGTTGGAGCCTTTTATGGAAAAATATAAGTAAGAGCAGGGCTGTCAAAAAAACCACGCGATTTACACAATCCGCAATTGCGGACAGCCCTGTTGGAGAGCCGATTATTCGAGAGTCGGAGGAGCACCTGTCCGTGGTGTGGGTGAAAGAATTTAGTTAAAACTATAACTGCCAATAAGTCGAAGGTTCGATGACTGTCATTGACTAACTTTTACCCTTTTCTTATTGAAATTATATTTGGAAATTAATTTTAAAAATTTTTTAAATTAATTTTTCTGTTAGAAAATGGTATACTTAAACCGAGTTTTCTAAAAAAAAATCTGGGTGTTGAGAATTTTTTCTCTAAAAAAATTTTGTGCTTTATCCTTTATAAAAATATTTTTTTCTAGGTCTGGAATTTATTCCGTAATTCTGAGAACGTCAAAAAAGTTTTAATTTCACGCATTCAAGAAGAAACTTTGCGGACTTATTTGCTAATGTATTCTACAATTTATAGCACTGTTTTATTAACGACTTTGTGTGAGCAATTCCAATTAAGTCGACAACGAATTTATGCAATCATTAGGTTTTTTTAAATTATTTTTTAATAATTTTGGGGATAATTTTTGGAACAATTTTTGGGAGGTTTTGTTCAAAAATATTCCAAAAAGTGATTTTGTTAAGGTTCGCCCAACCCTAGTAAGTAATTTTCTTTTGTGGAAAAATGGTTATCCTAGGTTTTTTCGGCTCGTTTTTTTCGAGTTTCGGGTCGAGCGAACTGGTAACCCTAATATTTTGCTTCAAAATTGCTCTGGTCATGACTCATGATTATAGGGTATTTTTAAGTTATTTTTAAGGTTTTACTTGGATTTTTCCTGACTGTCAGTCTCAGGATCTAGAATCTATTAAGACGTTTATAAAATTACTTTTGGTCTAATTATGAGCTCAAAACCCCCCCAAAAATTGTTCAAAGTTGTTAAGAGGACCTTAAAAAATTTTTTTTATTTTAATTAAAGCAAAATGATTTTGCAAGAAGAATTGAGTGCTAAATTTGATGAATCAACAGATTGTTTAATAATGCATAAAGTTGAACCAAGCAAATTACAATTACTTTCTCTTCAGGCTGCCGAAAAGTTTTCTCAAGTATCCTCAATTGAACAAACTGGAAGTGGGGGAGGAGGAGGACCAACTTCTTTGGCTGGAATTATGCCAGCAGATAATCGAAGAATGTATGGAGGAGCTGATAAAAGAGGTGGTGGTGGAGTTGGTGGTAGTGAAAGGATTGGTGGAGGTTTGGAATTTTTAAAATTTTTTTTAAATTTTGAGAGGATTTGGGGGAAAGAGGCTGGAGTATTTGGAATTGGTCCAAAAAATATTTTTCGGAAGGGAGGGAAAATTTTTCAAAATTTTTTTTTAATTTTTTTAAATGTTGGGAGGTTGTGAATCCGGATTTTATTATGTATGAAAATATTTTCTGGAGGGGAGGGCGGCTAAAAAATTTTTTTTAATTTCCTCAAACTTTTCATTTCCCAAGGATTATAAGGATTCTCTTCTCACTTCCGTTATTTTTTTAATAAAAAATATTTTTTGAAAGAAGGGGACTTTTAAAAAATTTTCCGAAAAGTTTTTCGTTTTCCTTCGTCTTCCCAAAAATATGAGGGATTTTTCTTCCTTCCACTATTTTTTTTATAATTTATTTTCTCGCGCACATTTTTTACTCTAAAAATTTTATTGTAGGTGCTTTCCATCGTCCACAGAGAGGAGGAGGAGGCGGTCCTGGTGGATTGGGAGGTGGAGGTGAACAAGTAACAAAAACTAGAGGACGATGGGCATGAAGAAAAAATGAAGAATTTATTAATATTCCTGTTGATTGTATTTTGTGTGTTGTTGAAGGGATTTTTGCTTTAAAAATTCGAAAAAGGTTTTATTTTTTAATTAATTTTTTAAATCCCTCCTCCAACAATTTACTTTAGCCCTGACCATAAGAAAAATTTTTTGTAATGCGGATATTTTTCGTTATTATAGTAGTTTTATTTTTTCGTTTTGTTTTTAATGATGATATTTTTTGGTGTTTTTGGATATATACAAATAGAGATTTTGTTATTATTATAATAAAGAGATATGTTGTTAATTTTTCTGATAAGCTTTGAGGTGAAAATTATCGATTTTTTGAGCCGAATAGTGACAAAAAATGAACAAAATTTCAAGAAAAAAAGTTTCAAATAAATTTAATAGACAGAAATATCGTTGAAATCCGAGCAGGAATTTTATTAAAAAATATAGGAAGGTTGAAAAAATGAGCCTCCCAGTCCGGGAATCGAACCCGGGTTAATTTTTCTGATAAGCTTTGGGGTGAAACATATGAAAATTTTTGGGTCGAAGTAGTAGAAAAATGAGTAAAATTTCAATAAAAAATTTTAAAATAAAATTAATAGAAACAGTTTGAAAAATAACCGGAAAATGTTATTGAAAATATAGGAAGGTTGAAAAAAATTAACCTCCCAGTCCGGGAATCGAACCCGGGTCTCGCACGTGACAGGCGCGGATACTAACCACTATACTAACTGGGAACTGAAGGAAAAAAGACAAAAAATTAATTATCTATAAGTCTCTTGAATCAACTTTGAGAAACGGAACATCGGGAATCTAGCCTTCCAATTGATCTTTACAAACTGGGAGAACTCCCTAACGAAAATCAAGGCTACAAATACTGATACACTTGTAAATAATTTCTTAAGTCATTTACAAGGAAGGTGGTGGGATTTTGTTTAGTGCGGAAAGATTTTTTGGGGTTCTTCCTTGGAAAAAAAACTGGAAAGCTCGATTTATTTTAAATTAAATAATTAACAAAATTAAATTATTTTAAATCACTAAAAAACAAAAATACCAATATTTTTATTCGTTCCCAACTAATCTTCTCCGTCAACATTCTCTCCTTCCTCTTCCTCCTCAACATTCTCATCTTCTTCATCTTCATTGATGAAATGCTGAAGCAGATTAGACATCGCCGAGACCTCATCTAGAACCGATTGAAGAGCCTGTGGATTAACCAAGTTCAGAATATCAACGCCAACATCTCGAATATTGGTGAGAAGGTCAGTCAATTGAGTAATAAGATTGTTTGCAGAAGTACGTAACTAAAATTTAATTAAATGTAATGAGAATTAAGATGAACAATAATTAGTAAGAGGATGTTTTTGCTTACAATTTTGTGCTGATTTTAACTAGGCATTTTCGCACCTGGAGTGATACCGCTCGATTCAGCTCACCGAGAGGAATCGATTGACCCGTTTAGGTGCAGGCCCTAGACTAAACTACATCCAAACTCTTTTTAACATTAACATAAAAAATAAAAACTAACTCCTGCAAGAGCATCCTCTCCCACACCATTATGTGTATGGTGAAAAAAATTTGTAGTCCATGCTGCGTTGAGTTGATCAAATAAATCACTAAACTCTGACGAAAATGGAACTATTTTGAGTGCACAAAAGGTAGCTACTACAAAATAAATGGTTAAAATTAACACTAAAAATGAAAAAAAACCTCCCCATCCAGTGACGATTATAGCAGAAAGGTCCTGGATGTTGGTCGCATCCATACCAAAAACATCCTCTTGTAAAAGCTCCAAAAGTTCAATTCCATGTTCAAGGCCTTGGATGAACTAAAAAAATTGTTCAAAAAATAAAAAAAATTATAGGTAGATTAAACTTAAGTGCTTCACTTAACAAAAATAAATACTCACAGAATTCCTTATTTTTCTGATAGAAACAACCGAACGATGGTGAATTTTCAAAATAAAAAGATCAAATATGAATGAAATCCTTTTATCTGCGAATTCTACATCTAAAGGCAGAAAACAAACAATTTCACGCAATAATTCAATAGGAACTGATTTTTTTCTTTTCTTAAGTTCCATTAAAGAGAATAGTCTAACCTACATTTTAGCAAAGAAAAATAACGCTAGGACTTCATAGGTAGCCGCATTTACACAAACACACACTAACCAAGCAAACCCATTTAATGACCTTGTGGGAAAGTTCTACAACGAAAATTTAAAAAAGCGGGGAAATCCGACTATAAATTTGTTATAATAGAGTCTGCCAAATAAACTAAATCCCTTTAATTCTAGCCAGTTAATAGTTCTTGATTTTTCAAAAAAATCATTGGGGCCTAAATAGTCAGAAAATCGAAAGAAAATTTTCATTTTACTCTATTTTACCTAAGTGAAGCACTTAGCTAATCTTAAAAAATAATAAAAAAACATACTACAATTATATGTTGTGGTACTTCTGGAACTTCTTGCTGCATCACAAATAATTTGGTTCAATTACACAAAAAATTTTTTGAAGAAAAGTTCTCTAGAAATAAAAAAAAATAAAAGTATAAAATTAGAAAATTAAAAAGAACAAGAAACGATGAACAAAAAACAAATGAACTATTCGAAATTGGTATCGCAAGCTTTCGCAAGCAAAATCCTATACACGCACAGTGGTTTACGCAGTTGAAAGAGAGGACATAGCGTCAGAAGACCATTAATGGTTCAGTCCAGACTTCCATGGACACAGATTTTTGTACCCGTATCCGGGTATATCCGGCGGATGCAGGCGAATATCGAATGGTACCCTTCTTTTTCCTAGGAGATGTCTGTGAACCAAGATAAAGGGCTCGAAATGGTCAAAAACCATTTGGCCATTTTGGGGTAAAAAATTCAAATGTGCACATAATAACTCATTCGAAAGAGCTCGACGAGCTGAGTTGAATGACACCAAAATCACCGTCTTCGAACAAGTTTGGACCGAGTTACGATACAAAAAATTGTGTGGTTCTTCAATTTTCAGGGACCTGAATCTCGGTCAAATCAAATCAGATTTCGTTGAACTTGGTGTCTTTCGACTCAGCTCCATGAGCTCTTTCGAATGGTGTATTATTTGTATATTCGAATTTTTACCCCAAAAATGAGCTTACTCCCCCCTATGGTTTTTGACCATTTCGAGCCCTATATCTCGGTCCACAGACATCTCCTGGGAAAAAGAAGGGTACTGTTCGACTCAGCACCTTTAATTACCCTATATGTGACATTTTGAGCATTAATATTTGGGGGTGTAACAAAACGGAAAAGTACCGAAAAATTTTTCCAAAAAGTTTTTTAGAACAATTTATTTTAGATGTTTTGTAAATTTACATATAGAAAGTGATCCGGCCACTAGAGCGCTGCCATAGAGCGCCAGCCTACTTTGATAGGCTATAACTTTTTTTCACCTCGATACAATTGAAGGAATCTTATATCATTCGAAAGCGCATGATAAGCGGTATCTTTTTTTCAAATAGATGGATCAGGTCTGATCACTCCCTAAAATTGTTACAACCCGATAAAGGTGAAAAACACCAAATAATTGTACTTATCGGGCTATAACTTTTTAATGGATGATCAGACCTGATCCGTCCAATTGGCATAAAGATACAGCTTATCGAGAGCTTTCGAATGGTATAAAATTTGTTTGGATAGGATCAATCCAAAAAAAGTTATAGCCCCTCAAATATGGCTGGCGCTCAAATTTGGCGCTCAAACGACCCCAAAACTAAATGACATTTAATCCCATTTAATGGCTACTGTACTTTTACTGTACTTCTACTGTAGTTTTTTCGTTTCTTAAAAGTTTTCGAGTCTTTTTCGAGTTTTTCTGTTAAAATTTCTTTACCTTTCGTTTATCTCTTTAGATTTTCCTTTTATCCTACCAAAAAATTTTTCAACAAAAAATGCCTCCTGTGAAGAAGATTTCCGTCAATAAGATCAAAAAGGATTCGAATTCTCCCAAAAAGTTGAATGTCACAGAGAAGTCTGGCCTTGTATTTCCTCCTCTGCGTATTCGTCGAAAGCTTAAGACTGGTTTATTTTTTAGTTATTTTTTAAAGATTTTAAAGAAAATTTTAAGGTCGTTATGCCACTCGTGTAACCAAACCAACTTCGGTTTATATGGCTGCTGTGCTCGAGTACTTGACTGCGGAGGTGATTGAACTTGCTGGGAATGCTGCGCGTGATCTCAAAGTGAAGCGTATTACTCCGCGTCATTTGCATTTGGCTATTCGGGGAGATGAAGAGGTTTTTTTTGGCTTTACTTTTTTGGGGTATTTTTTGAGTAGATGATAGCTGGGGTTGTGACCGTTGTTAACCCAGTATCTCCTTATTAACCGGTACTTTTCTAGGGTAATCCATAGTTTAAGAACTCTTTTTCGGTTTTATTTCTGGTTAAATATCACATTTTGGGGGAATTTCTGAAAAATCACTTGCTGGGGTTGTGACCGTTGTTAACCTAGTGTCCCCTTATTATCCTGTACTTCAGGCCCGTAACCAGGGGGGGGGTGAGGGGGGGAATTCCCCCCCCCCCGAAATGGGAAAAAGGAAAAAATTTGGGGAAGGGCTGGGGCAAAAAAGTGAATTTTTTTGGCCTACGGCCTTCGAAATTTTCAAAATTTTCGCCTGCGGCGCTAAAAAAGGACGAAATCTGGCTTCTTGAGGTCCAAAATTCAAAAAATTTTCGCCTGCGGCGCTGAAAATCAAATTTTTGGCGCCTGCGGCGCCGAAAAAGTGAATTTTTTGGCCTACGGCCTTCTAAAATTAAAAAAATTTTCGCCTGCGGCGCTAAAAATAAAAATTTTTGGCGCCTTCGGCGCCAAAAATTTGGCGCAATAAAATTTCCCCCCCCCCCCCGAAAAAAAATCCTAGTTACGGGCCTGCTGTACTTTGTTTTTTTTCGGGTAATCCAAGTTTAAGAATCCCTTTTTTGGTTTTATGTTTTGGCTAAATATCACATTATGGGTGTGTTCACAAATTTTCGCTTTTTAGTTTTAACCGTAGCCAATAACCCTAGTGGGGACTTCTAGGTAGACCATCAATTTTTCCTAGATTTTCCTCTTATAGTTAGCCAAGTATTTTTGCTGGTACTGTGGTTATTTGGGCAACTAAAATTTTCTTTTCCCTCCTACTTACATTAGCCACGTTCAAAAGACTAATGAGTGGTGTCATTCTACACATCAATTTTAACACTAAGCCTTGAGTCCTTCGATTTACTGTGTGGATTCCTTTTATATTTTTCCCCAACTTACACCGAAAAGTTGCTTTTTTTTCTCTCCTACTTGATCATGATTAAGAAACTACTGGGTTTGCAACGGTCAAAATTAAAGCCTAGAGTCTTTCGATTTTTTGTGGGGATTTTCTTTTTTGACTGATGAGGTTGTCCACAACGGGGAGCGGGTCAAACCCCACGAGTCCTATCTACCCAGAAAAGTCAACTTTTTCCCTATAATCTTCAGTCGTTCAGTTCGTACCCCCATATTCATTCTTTGTGAGTAAGACACAAAGAATTTAACTCAAAGACAGAATATGAGGGTGTGACCTGACCGACTGCAGGTCTATGAAAAAACTGATTTTGCGGTGGGTGAACTCGCGAAAGTTTGGCCGCTTCACAAACCTAGTAACACCCTTTAGTAATATTCTAGTGTTTGGGTTTCTAGGAGAGCGTGGGTGTGGACTTCTCTTTGTTTTAGTTTTCCTAATTTCTTTTCCCTTTAAAAATATTTTCCTTTAAAATTTCAGTTGGATTTGTTGGTGACTAGAGGAGCGACTGTAGCTGGAGGCGGTGTCATTCCACATATTCATCGTGCACTTCTCAACAAGGATCAGGCTATGCATGCTGCAAATAAGGCGAAATAAGAGGTTTTGAATTAAATAAAGAAATGGAAAAGAAAATTATTTTTTTGATGTTATTTTCCCCTCAAATATGATTTCCCTCTAATATTTTATTGTTTAAATTGATCTCTCAAGTCGCAAAAAATATATCTCAACCTTTAAAGGATAAAACTTTTCTGTCTTTATTTTGCTTTGATTTTGTTGGTTTTTCATTGGGTTTTAACAGCCTTGAATATTTTACATTTTTAAGTTTTTGTCCGTAAATTTTTTTGTCCGCAAATTTTGTCCGCAAAAAATTTTTTTCAAAATTTTTTTTTCCGGGGTTCTTTTGGTTATTTTCAAAGATCTGCAGCTATTATTCTCATAAAGGTTAAAGTTACTTTCCTTTATAATTTTCCCTTCTCGCTACTGCAAAAAAGTTGCAGATTTTTATGAGCATACTCCCCCTTATTTGTTAGGCGGGACACGCCCAAATCGGCGCGCGGTCATAACGGCGCGAAGCCATAACCTGCTGGAAATTTTATGGCCCTTAACAATTTTGGTACCATCTCTTTAGCGCTCGTTGAGAGGAGTAGTTTAATACTAAATTTGGTAAGATTCGGAAATATTGAAGCAAGTTATAGCTTTGCGCCGTTATGGCCGCGCGCCTACTTGGGCTGTACCCCCTTCTTCCTCTTTTATTAAAAGAAATGATTTTTAGTCTAAAAAAAGTTGCAGATTTTTATGAGCATAACCGAAAAAGAACCCTTTTTTCTCTTATTTCAGTTGATTTTAACAACAAAAAATCTACATGCCACGGCCTTTAACTAATAGGAAGCTCAAAAAAGTTTTGTCCTACCAGGGACGTCTTACTATGACTAAAGCGGCAAATCGTTGCTCTGTAGGAACAACCACTGTGCATAAATACTGGAAGGTATTTTTTATCTACTTCTAAATCTACTAAAAAATTTTTTAAAAGAAATATTGTTCAAAATGTCATGTGCTGTTTTCCACTATGGGTGCGCTTTCTCGTCATGCTTGTGTACAGGACACTCATGTCGAAACATTGTCAATTGGATCGACTTTGTAGGTTTAAAAATTATTATGATTCAGGGGCTTATGTTGGGGGGCCAAGATTTTTTTGGGGGAGCTTCTGTTAACTTCGGATTTGGTTTAGAAAGTTAATTAGGAATTGTGTTCAAAGTGAGATTTTAACCTGCCGAATGAAATTTGGGCTTAAATTTGACTTGGATGCCTACCCTTATTTTTTGTCGTGAATCATTTTCTTGTTGAGTGAAAGCCTCTTTCGAATTTATTTTTGGGGTATTTTTCCGGGTTTCCTCCTTGAAAATTAGAATTTTTCTTGCCCCTCCCCCCCCCCCCCCATAAGAAATTTTGGTTCTCTTTTTGTTATCCCTACCAGAATTTTTTTGTTGAGTTTTTTCTCTTTTTGCTGACACACTGATGTTTCCTTGGAGGAAATGTTGGTCATTGGAATGATTTTTTCTTTTATATTTTCTTTTATCGTATATGTATACTACTACTTTTAAAATAAATGGTCCGCAAACAGGGAAAAAAGTCCGCAAAAAATTTTGGTAGGGATAACGGAAAAATACCGAATTTTTTTTTATTTTTTGGGGGAGTTTCTGATTTAATTCGGAAACTCCTTGTTTCCCATCCTTAAACTAGCTTCCCCTCTCCATTAAAAATTAAAAAAAAAATTTAAATAAATAAACACATAATTGCCCGTCTAATGATGCACAAACAACCCTTTTAACTTTAAAAAGGGCGCTTTAAACAGAAAAAATAGGAGCGGAAAAGCCTTTATTTTCAACGTCTCAGAAATTTTCTTTATTTAAAGCCATTCATTTTCCCCTATGGAATGGAAATTTTTTTTGCTTATTTTTTCTGAAGCTTTTTTTGCTTTTAAAACCAATTTTTAAGTTGAGAGAATAGTACAATTTATTTTTTTTATTTTTTTCTTTCCTTTTTTCCTCCCACATTTCCCACATGCACTTTCCTTCCCTTCACTTTTCGTCACTTTTTTCACTAAAATTTTATTTAAATTTATTCTGATGGGGAAGTTGGATTAATTTTTTTAATGTTTTTAAATTTTTGGAAAAATTTTTTCAAAATTTTCTGAAGCTTTAAAAGATTTTTTTTATAAAATTCGCTTCAAAAATTTTTTTCTCCTTTTTTCCTCCCATATTTTCCAAATGCAATTTTATGTCTTCACTTTTTCTCTATTTTTACTTCTGCATTTTTAAATTAATTTTCTAAAAAATTTCTTTTTTGGTTTCTTAAAATCCAAATCAAATAGAAAATTAATTTAGATAATTATTCCATTTATAAGATTCTTTTTCTCTACGTTTTGATTGATTAACGCGATTAAAAGTGTGGTTTTCGTTGTTGTCATCATACTGACTGGGGGGTATTTTCGTTGAAAGTTCACACACACAAAACAACGAAAAGAAAATTTAGGTAAAAGAAAAATCATTTCTATTAAATTAATTTTCCCCCCTTTCATTAATATAATTAAAATAAAAACCCTTTAAAAATTTTTTTAATAAAAATTTTATTTAAAATATGACTGCAAATAAGCAGGTTAGATGGGTTTTTAACAATTAGATTTAACTCTAAAAATAATCTTTCCTTCAATTGAGTTGTTTGGTTAAGGTGGAAAATCGCTAGTTTTGTTGGGTATGGGTTCGAGTCCTTCTGTGTGTAATTTTTTTATTTTTTTCTTTTTACGAAGAAAGGTGTGTCAGAAGCTTCAGAATAATTTTTTGACCGTTTCTCATTTTTCTTTCCTTTATTTTTCATTTTATTTAATTTTTTAAACTTTATTCTAATTTTTTTAATTTCAGCCTCTCACTTATTTAAATGGTTTTGAACAGCACAGCACTCATCCAGATTTTGTTGATGCTCTTCCACCTGTTTTGAATAATCCGCAAAAATGTCCTTACGGTCTGTATGCTGAGCAACTTTCGGGGACAGCCTTCACTTGTCCTCGTGCTTTGAACAAAAGGACTTGGCTTTACCGTATTCGACCTTCAGTGCAACACAAACCTTTTGAACGTTTTCGCGGAATTAATGATGAAAGGTTTTTTTTGAATTATTTTGAGTATAAAATTTAGAGTTTAAGGCTGATGACAGTTTTTAGGGTCGGGATTTTCGAATTTTTTTTTGAATTTTTTGAATTATTTTTGGGTTTAAAATTCAAAATTTGAGGATTAGGGTAGTTTCTGGAGTCGTTTTTTCGATTTAACTTTTTCCCGTTTTTGAGTTCATATCGGGTTGGTGGAGAATATTCTTAAGGGAGCATCCACAAAAATCCCCAGAATTTCCACAAAATTTTTTTTTGATTTTTTGAATTTCTCTAAAAACGACAACTTTAAAAACTTCCAAATCACTGAAATAATTTAGAGTCAGAAGCGGAAGGATAATTTGTTGGGCTGGGCTTCCTGGTCTAATTTTTTCTGGTTTATTACTTGTTCCACTAAGATTAATGAATGAAATAATTTTTTCCCCAGAAAATTTTTTAAATTTCCCAGAAATTGTTTTTAAGACCTCGGCTTGCCTTATAGTTTCAATTCAGATTCAAAAACCGGGTACAGCCCAAGTAGGCGCGCGGCCATAACGGCGCAAAGCCACAACTTGCTTCAAGATTTCCTCATCTTATCAAATTTAGTATTAAACGATCCCTCTCATCGAGCTAAAGAGATTGGTACCAAAATTTGATAAGTGTCAGAATTCTTCCAGCTAGTTATTTGCGCCGTTATGGCCGCGCGCCTACTTGGGCGTGTCCCTCAAAAACCCTTCAAACTGAATAAAATAATTTTCTTCTCAATTTACAGATTCGTCAACAATTTTTTTTGTTTTCAACCAAATCCGAATCAAATCCGCTGGAAGCCGCATCCGTTGCTTAATAAAACTCAAAATGGGGCTATTAAAATTGATTTTGTTGAGGTTTGATTTTTTTGAATTTTTAAATTTAAAAATTTTTAAAAATTTAGAGTTTTTACACTGTTTGTGGTGCTGGTTCGCCTCAAATTCGTAATGGACTTGCAATTCATTTGTATTCATGTAATGCTCCAATGGAGGACAAGGCTTTTCAGAATGCTGATGGGGATATGTTAATTGGTATTTTTTGATTTTTATTTTATTTTTTATTAAATTTTTTGTCCAAAATTTTAATGAAGAAATAATTGATATTTAACACTCACGTAGAGGGGTATTGGCTCGAAACCATACTGAAGATTTGATTTTTCGGTTTGGCTTATAGCCTCAATTTCGAAAGTCCGAAAAAATCCTAGGATTTTTCGGTTTGGCTTTTAGCCTCTTTCGAAAATCCGAAGATTTTACAAGAACAGACAACCTTACTCGTGAATTTTAAGTGAACAGGCAGCCAAAAAAAGTTATCAGTAATATGTACCTCTACCTACCAAAATAAAAGAATTTCACTTGAAATTTGCAAGTATGGTTGTCGGTTTTACCAACTTCTTCGGTTTATTGAAAGCGAACCGATAAACCGAACTGAAACTTTCTGGTGATTAGACAACCCTATTCATGAGACAAACCAAAATTTTTTATTTTTTTTTTTAAATTTTCCCCTTTTGCAGTTCCACAACAGGGCACTTTGCTTATTATTACAGAATTTGGGAAAATGGAGATTGAACCACAGGAGTAAAATTTTTTTTGTTTCGATAAATTTAAAATTAAATTATTTTATAGAATTGCTGTCATCCCTCAAGGCATTCGTTTTAGTGTTGATCCTGTTGAAGGGCCTTCCCGTGGTTATCTTCTGGAGGTTTTTATTTGTTTGATTTTTTAAAATTTTTCTGTTTAAGGTTTTCGGTTCTCATTTTCAATTGCCAGAGCTTGGTCCTATCGGCGCTAATGGGTTATTTTTTTAATTTAACAAAAGTCCACAAAACTAATCCGCAATCAATTGGAGGCGTATAAACTATTGTTTGGCACAAATTTTTGGTAGACTCATAAAGCTTTATTGGTCTCATAGACTATATCAGTGCCATTTTTCTCCCAAAATTTAAGAAAAATAATTGCGGACTAAATTTGCGGATTTAAAAAATGTCCGCAAATTTTTTAATTTTTTTTTCAATTTTTTAGATTAGCAAATCCTCATTGTTTTCAAATACCCACAGCCTGGTTTGAAGAAAAAGATGTTCCATTTAAAATAATTAACAAATTTCAAGGATTGTTGTTTGAAGCCAAACAGGTTTTTTTTTAATTTAGAAAATTTTAAATTAATTTTTAAAGGAACATTCTCCTTTTGATGTGGTAGCTTGGAGAGGAAATTATGTTCCTTTCAAGTATAATTTGCGCCATTTTATGACGATAAATACTGTTAGTTACGACCATTGTGTAAGCTTTTTTTAATTCTAGTGAATTTTTTGTCCGCAAAAATTTGTACGCAAAAATTTTGCGGACAAAAATTTTATTGTCCGCGACTTTTTTGCGGACAGATCCGCAAATTTTTGCGGACAGATCCGCAAATTTTTGCGGATTTGTTTTTTGGTTTTTGTTGATTTTTTGGGCTTACTGGGTTTAAATTTTTTTGATTATTTCAGGATCCAAGCATATTTACTGTTCTGACCGCTCCAGGCATCTCCCAAGGTGTTGCTCTTGCCGATTTTGTTATTTTCCCGCCTCGATGGGCTGTTGCTGAAGGGACATTTCGTCCTCCTTATTTTCATCGTTAGTTTTTTTTGTTTTTTTATTTATCCACAAAGTCCGCTAAAAAGTCCGCAAGTTTTGTCCGCAATTAAAATTTTGCGGATTTTCGGATTTTTTAAATTAACTCTAAATGGACTTATTGTTAGCTTATAGGATTAGCTAAAATTAAGAAGCATGTATAAAGACTTGTTGTTTAAAAATAGGGTAGGGGAGCTTGCCAAAAAAATTTTTTTTAATTTTAATTTTTGAACTACAAACCTAAATTTATTTATGTTAATTTTCGTTTCTCTTTCTTTTTTCTTTTCTCCTCTTTTTTTTTCCTCCAAAATTTCCCACACAATTATCCATCCTTTTATTTTTTAGGCAATTGTATGAGTGAATTTATGGGTCTTATAGTTGGTAAATATGAGGCAAAAGAAGGAGGTTTTTGTCCTGGTGGTGCTTCTCTTCATTCAATAATGACTCCACATGGGCCTGACTCTAAATGTTTTGAAAATGCAAGTAATGATAAATTGGGGCCATTGAAGATTGCTGAAGGAACTATGGTTAGTTTTTGTTATTAATTTAATTTATAAAAATTTTTCCTTTAAATGGGAAATTTTCTTTAAAATTAATTTTTCGGAGGAGACACTTCGGCGCGGGAAGGTTTACGTTTTGGCGTGTTTAAAATTAATTTTTTTGGAACTACTAGGCTTGCGGTGTGGGTTTAAAATTAATTTTTCTGAGGTACATTTGGGCGCGGTAAAGTCTAAGCGTGAGAGCAAAATTAATTTTTCAAAGGGTAGTTTCGGCGCGGTAACGTCTAGGCGTGAGGGTTTATAACTCACTATCAGATGAGTACCTAGAGGCTTGGAATTTTCCTTGATTATCCTAGACACATTTAGCTAACACGTGGAGAAATTTCAGAATTTTCGTTTAAATATTTATAAAGTTGAAGTTGAAAAACTTGCCAATTTTCTTTAAAAACGCCTCAATTTTCTGATATCCCCAGCCATAAATCTTGAGATAATAAAGCTAAAACTCTGAAAATTTTAGATTTGTTAGGCAATACTACTGCCTATCTTTGGGCAAAATTTATCCTTTTTATCTTTTTAATTTTTGGTAGTTTTATAGGTTCGCGCCTAAAATTTTTCTGCGCCGAAAAGGGAACAAATTTTTAAAAAATTTTTAAATTTTATGGAATTTTTTTAAGGCGTTCATGTTTGAGAGTTCTCTAAGTTTGGTAGTTACTGATTGGGCGAATAAAGAGAATGTAGATGAAGAATATTACAAGGATTGGGAGCCGCTCAAGAAATGTTTTAATGGGGAAAAATGAAGGGAAGGAGAGAAAATGAGGGAAGTATTTGGAAAAAAATTTTAATCTTTTTTGTTCAAAATTTACTTTTAATATTTTTTTACAGATTTTTTAAAAATTTTTATGATAAAATTTTCTATGAGAAAAATTTTTTTGATTTTTTAAAAATCGTTTTGCTTCGATTTTTAATTTTTTTTATTATTTTTGCTGCATTTTTAAACAATAATTTAGGTTAAAGATGATAGCAAATGTCAAATACCAAATGGAATTAATGTCTAAATCTGTGGATAATAATCGAGAACAAAAATGTTTATTAATTACTAATAGAGGTTATTTTTTAAAATTTATTTTCTTTAACTATGTTGGGTAAGGGTCCGTTAGGGTCTGAGTTTTCTCCTATAAGAGGACCATCGCCCTTGTAATTTCAGACTCTAATTGCCTCCCAGAAAAAATTTTTTTTTAATTTAGGGGATGAGGAAGAACAATATTCAACAATGCAATCAACAAAATTGACAACAAATAATTGTTCCTCCACCTGTTTATTAGAGAAAGAAGGGCAGCAAAGGAATGGATTTAGTAAAGGACAACGAAAAAAGTCAATAGGAAGTGGAGGTTATTTAAAAAAAATTTTTAAGGGTTAAGAAAATTTGAAAAAAATTTTTGAAAAATTTTCTGAAATTTTTAAGCTTCAAAAAAATTTTCTTTTGAAATTTTTAAGGCCAAAAATACCAATTTAAAAAGAAATGCCACGACCCGGGATCGAACCGGGGACATTTAGATCTTCAGTCTAACGCTCTCCCAACTGAGCTATCATGGCAACTGAAGGGGTCTCTTTAAAATTAGTTTAAATAAAATTTATTTATAGGGACATTTCGCGTAAAAAATACAAAAAGAGGTGATTCACTTTTGACAGACGAAATGGAGTTGGATAATATACAAAATGAAGAAGGAATAATTATAATAGATTCTTCAGATGATGAAGACAATTTATTGACCAATTTTGAAGCCGACAATAATTTTAAAAATTTGGAGGAAAGCAAAAATGAAATTGGGGGGAGGCAGGAAAGTGCTGGTGGTGGTGGATTTGTTGGAAATTTGAAGACAAAAATGAATTCTAGACTGAAAAAGTTGAAGCCTTCAAGTTGTTGTTTGCCATTTTGGAGGACTGAAAGTAATTTTGGGTTTAAACATTTTCGGTAAATTTTTAAAAAATTTTTTTCTAATTCCTATTCCGTTTGAGACTGAGAATCTCCCTCTTATCACATATTGACTCGATAATCTCTCATATATCCCACCTCTAATATATCCCACCTATATTGTAATCTTTCTTGTGACTCTGTGTTATGCCAAACAGTAGCCAGAGTTGTCAGCAACTGCAAATTGCGGATTAATTTTAGACTTGCGGGTATTTTCGAATTTGCGGACTTTTTAACAAATTTCGGATTTTTTTTCAATAAATTCGCGAATTATCCACGAACAAAAAATATTTTTGCGAACAGCTCTGGTTGTTAGGCATTATATCCCCACAATTATCCCAATATGGGATAACTCTAAGAGTGAATAAAAAATTAATTATAATTTTATTTAAAATCGATCTCTTCTCTCATTTATATCAATTTAACAACATTTTCTGTTAAAAAAACTAAATTAAAAATTTATTTCTTTTCCAAAGTTTTTGTTTCAATAACAATTCCATGCATTTCCTTAATTTCTTTCTTGAGCACCTCATTAATTAATTTGTGTTGTTTTACTTTAGGCATTCCTTCAAATTGGGTAGATTCTACACGAACTCTAAACATTGCTCCACAACCACCTGAATTTTTTTAATTATCCGAATGTTGGGGTAATTTAAAAATCAGAAATTCTGATTTTTTAAATCAGTAATTTAAAAAGGACTCTATTTTAGGAAACTAAAATTCTAATTTCAGAAACCAGAATTAAAAAAAATCAGAAGTTGATATACCAGAATAAAAAAATAATTCTGGTTTTAGAAATCAGAATTTAAATCAGAATTCAAAAATCAGAACTAACAATTCTAATTATCAGAATTTCTGTCACTTCTGACTTTTAGGGGCCAGAATTTAAAAATTAGAAAAACCAGAATTTCAAAAAATCAGAACTCAGAAAAATTGACTGTGGACCAGAATTTTGGTAAATCAGAATTTCTGAGTTTTCAGAATTTAAAAACCAGAATTCTGATTTTGTACCAGAATAAAATTTAAAAATTACCAGAAATATCCTCTACATTAACCACATCCCCACTTTCTTCTGGAAATTGTCCTCGTAACAATTTAGTAATCGATTCTGTTTGTAAAATATCAGATTGCGTCATTGTTGAGAACATTCCAACAAAATTATTATTTAAAAATTTATTTTTGACTGAAAAATAATTTTTTGTAAAATTCCTTGAAAAAGAAAACATTGAGGGAAAAATTCTAAAAATTATTTAAAAATTGCTTAAAACAAAAATTAAAAATAAATTTAAACAGAAAGCTTTTTTAACGTTTAAAAATACAAAAAAAAATTTTTTTAATAAAAAAATATTTTTATCAACAGGTGTACAAAACTAATTTTTATGTATAAAATTAAGAAAACAATTAAATAGCTGCTTTGTTCATGACCGTACGCAAAAATGATAAAACGCCAATTTTGATTTTTTGGCGTTTTTGGCGCACAACTAAAAATTAGGAGAAATTTAAAAAATTTCCCAAGTCTCTCCCCTATAAGATCGATCAGAAAATTAATTTAGAAACCAAGGGCGGGTCAATAAAATTAAATTTAAAGGAAAATTCCTGAAAAAAAGTCAAAGGACGAATCGGAAAAAATATGTAAATTCTTTTAAAAAATAAAAAGGAAAAAATATATTGGAATTAAAGAGAGAAAAATATAGAAATGCTTAATATATAAAATATATTAGGAATCAGAAAATCAGAATTTATTAAAAATCAGAAAATTAAAAAAAAAAGTCGAAAAAGTCCGCAAAAAATTTGCGAAGTCCGCAAAAAAAGTCCGCAAACTTTTTGCGGACATTTTTTGATTTTGCGGACTCTTGATCAGAATTTTATTTCAAAAACATTTTTAAAAATTCTGATTGTTAATTAATTAATTTATTTTCACAACCAGTTTTAGTTTGGGGGGAATTTTCCATTATTTTTTTAAGTTAAAAAGCGGAATATATTTAAGTGCCGAATTAAGTTATAAAATATAATAAAAATATTTTTTTGGAACTTTAAAATATATGTTTTTGCGAAATATGTGTGTGTTTGAAGTAATTAAAATTGTATCAACAAAAATTGGAAAGAATAATTTTTAAATCATAGTCTAGTGTAGAGACAGAGAAAAAAAACACGCATTAGTGTCCCTTTTTAAAATTTTCTCCTTAATTTTATTTAAGAAAGACCATTAATTGTATTCACTTCAGCATCCAATGAATGGGGAATGCCTCCAATAGTATATCCAATTTTTAGTCGCAAACGGGGCTGAAAAAAAGAAAAAAAAATTAAAAAATATTTATTATAAATACATATACCGATTTGGCTGATAAAGCTATTCTTCTTAATCTTGCAATTTGTGTTGCAGTAGAAAGTCCGTTTGGTTCTAATCTTGTTGTACTAGCAGGAAGTAATTCAATTTGATAAGTCTTTAAAATTAAAAAATTTTTTTTGGAAAAAGTAAAAAAAAATGTCCGCAAAAATTGTGCGGAGTCCGCAAAAAAATCCGCAATAAAATTTTTTTTCAATAAATTAAAAATCTTCCCTCACATACCTTTATAACAGCCACAGCCAAATTAAAATCCTCTATCAAAGTTGGATTATTATTTGTAGAAACAAAACGTAATGAAGCTTCATTATTTGAATCAAAAACCTTTTCAACGTGTAATTGAATTTCTAGTCCTCTTTGATTAAAAATTATTTGGCCGCCAAAGGATTCGTGAGATTGTTCACTTAAAAAAAATTTTTTTTTGGAAGTTTTAAAAATTTTCGAAAAATTTAAAAAATCCGCAAATTTTTAGCGGAGTCCGCAAATTTTTTGCGATGTCCGCAAAAAATTTTTGCGGATTTTAAAAAAATTTTTCAAAAAAAACCTTGATCCCATATCAAATAGATTATTTAAATCATCAGTCCTTTTTTGTTGTGATTGAGATAAAATATCTTGCAAGTCTAAAATTCCATTTTGTGAAGGAACAACAGGTTGTTTTTGAGTTGAAGCTCCATTAGATATTAAATCGGTAATTAAATTGCTACCTTAAAAAACAACATTTTTAAATAGTCTTTTTTAAGTAAACTCGAAACAACAACTTAAAACTTGTTTGGTTACGAGAGGAATAAGAATCGAGTTCCATTCTGTGGAATAAGGGAAAAAGTGCGGATAAAGTCCGCAAAAATTTTTGCGGACAAAGTCCGCAAAACATTCTTGCGTACAATCCGCAAAAAATTCTTGCGGACAGAATCTGCAAAAACATACTTGCGGACAATCCGCAAAAAAATCTGAAACAATGCCGACAAAAATTGCGGACTACGCAAAAATTTTTGCGGATTACGCAAAAACTCAATTCTCTTAAATTACCCCGGATCTTAAAACTAATGCGGATTAAGTCCGCAAAAAATCAAAAAAAAAACTTAAAAAATTTTTTACCATTTGTTTGTTGTCCATTAATAGTATTATTATCAACTCCTCCACCTCCAAATAATATATCACCCAAACCTAACAAATCAACAACTTCTGGTGCTGCTGCTTTTTGTTGTTGTTTTTGCTTTAATAAAGATTGTTCATCATTAATTAAAGGTGATTCTTCTATTGGTTGTGCTGCTGTATGTAAAGCATTACGTTCAATAGCTGGCATTCTTTCTAATAATCCAAATCTGTGGAGGGGAAAATTAGAAAAGAAATTTTAATATTATAAAAGTCCGCAAAAAAGTTAACCGCAAAAAAAATGAAAGCTAACTGAAAAGATTAATAAGAAGATAAAACCAAGGGAACGAAATGAAAGAACAGAAGGAAAAAAATTTTTTAGACCGGAATAGCTAACAATAAGTCCGGCACGGAATCTAAGAATAAAAATTTCAATTAGAATCTACAAATAGTCGAATCTTTAAAAGAAAGAAACCCACATGAAATCTCAGGGAAGAATCTCAAAAGAAATTTTAGAATATGAAAAATGGTCGAATCTCCATAAGAATCTCATAATTTGGGATTCAGAACAGAAGGAGTGGATGCGATGTTCGCGGACTTTTTTTTGCGGACATAGAAAACTTTTTTTTGTAAACTCAAAAAAATCCGCAAAAATGTTTTTCCTAAAGAAAATTCAAAAAAACCTCAAATCATTTTTTAACAAAAGCCTTGCATATTCAACAGAACGTTGTTGCAATTCCAAATTCATATTCGCAGAGTATTGTCTAACAAGTGCATGAATACGTTCAGAACAATTTTCAAATCGAGTAAATAATTTAGCTAAAGCTGTTAATCCAAATTCTCTACTTGAAATAGACATTTGTGAAGAAGGCATTAAACGTTCAAAAATTCTGACAACTTCGTCTTCTTCAATCTGAGGAAAGAGGGAAACAATTTTTTAATTAAAAAGTGGGGGTATTTTAAAATCCGCAAATTTTATCTGCAAGTTGAAAAATATTTTTTAAAAGTCCGGAACTTTTTGTCCGCAAGTCAAAAATTTTTAAAAAGTCCGCAGCAAGTTACAAAATATTTTTAAAAAGTCCGCAAATTTTTGTCCGCAAGTTGAAAAATATTTTGCAAAATGTCCACAAAGTTTTCCACAATTTAAAAAAATTTCTTTAAGAAGTCCGCAAGTTCAAAAATATTTTTTTCAATCCGCAAAAAATTTCTCAAAAAATAAAAAAAACCTTTTTATGTGTCTCCTCTTCCCCTCCAATAATCAACAAATCACCAAATTCCCCTATACACCAAAAAGCAACTTGTAAAAGTGGTTGTGCTGTCAAAACAATTTGTTCACGTTCAGCAGCATGAAATAGTTGTATTGTTGCATAAGTTTGAAGCTCAGAATGTGAAGAAATTAATTGAATCATTGCACTAACAACTTCATCGGGGACATAATTACCAGCCTTTTTAAAAGAAAAATTGAGGAAAAAATTAAAAAATTGGTAATTGAACACATATTGGCAAAATCTCATCTCTGTGACATTTGGAAGGAAGTCTGAATTCTTATTAGGGGTCGGTATGGGACAAGATCCCGTACGGGATTTTGCAAAATTCTATTCCGAAATCCCGTATTTTAAGCGACAAACGGGATTATCAGGATTTACGGGATTAATCCTGCGGGATCCTGTCCCGTAAAAATTTTTGAAAAAAATCCCGTTACGGGATCCCGGGAATGCGATTTTACCGACCTCTAATTATTGTGTCCAAAAAGAGTTAGTTTCGGCAAAATTCGAAATTTGACATTTTGATTAATTGAGTCATGTGGGCATTATGGCATTTTGGTCATATTTCTGCTAGTTAACATTTTGGACGAATTCAAAAAGCTCTAGTCTAGTTTATGAGTCCAAATTTTTGGAACCATACCCCAATTTTGCAAAACCAAGAAAATCCCATTTCTTTTCGACTGAACTCATAAAGCTCGATTGGACTCATAAACTAGAATAGAGCCTTTTGAATTTGTCCAAAATGATTTTTTTGCCAAACTTCGAAATTTGACATTTTGACCAATTGACCCAATTGGAATTTATGACATTTTAGTAAAAATTTCCCCTAAACGAATTTTGAAGGAATTACAAGAATACCTATGTCCCACCAAACCAACAAATTTCTTAAAAATCTAAAATCTCATATACCAATTGTAAAACATTAATCATTGTATCCAAGTGCCAAACAATACTTGGAGAAAAACGCTCCGTTGCTATATACATTTTTGAGGCACATTCAGCTTTAAATTCAGAGTCTGCAGTCTCCAAGAATATTATAATCTCTTTTGACATGCTTACAATATTTGTTTGATTAATTAATGCAAAACATAAATCTAATGCACGCCTGGAAAAAAAGGAAAAAATTGATTGAAAACAATTAAAAAAATAAAATGGGATCAAATGTCATCTTGGAAAAATTCCCCTCCAGTTCTATTCTGGTTCAAAAATCGCCAGATTGCTTAAAAATAATAAAACAATGCAAATAAAATAAAAATCCCTCAAAAGGGTTCGAACCCCAACCTATTACACCCCAGAACCCAAACCTTTCCCACTACACCAAAATATACAAACCAGCTAAAAATTTGAAATCGGCAAGGCTACAACCCCTATCGAATTAAAAAAACAAACTTTTTAATAGAAACATCCCCATCCTTTAAACAATCCACAACAGTTGTACGATGACGTTGAACAGCTTGAAAATCAACTCCCACAGTTTTAAGTAATGTATTTAGTGCTACATAACGAATGTTTTTGTCTGGATTTAGAAGAAAACGTCCAAGAATATTTACAGCAAGAACTCGAAGTCCGCTTTCACTAGAAAAAGAACTTTTAAGCTTGTAATAAAAATTCGCAAAAAGTTATGGACATATTTTGCGGATATTTTTTGAAATGCGGATAATCTCAAAACTTGTGTCCGCAAGAATAATTTTATTCCGCAAAAAACAAATGTCCGAAAAATGAATAATTTTCCGTTTGCAAAAATAAAAATCCGCAAAAAAAACAATGTTCGGAAAAATAATTTTTCCATCTGCAGAAATAAAAATCCGCAATAAATTTTTGTCAGCAAACTTAAAAAAATCAAATTTTTTCCAAATTAAATCCCTTCCAAAATATTTAACTCTCAAAAAAACCTTTTAATTTCCATAATAGTCAACACAGTTTCATAAAGTATTGCATTCCCCACATTTTTAGACGTCTCTGTATTTGTTGCAACTTGAGCCAAAATATCGTTCATTTCTTCACTTGCTTTCGGGTCATCTTTTCCAAGAATTCGCAAAAGTTTAATTATTTTCACTTGAAGAAAAGGATCGCTAATGCTTGAAACATCGTGTTCAGGTGAATAACCAGTCATCAATAAATTTTTTAAAATTCGTACCAAGTTTGGAACCATCTGTAAAAATTGAAAAAATTAAATTTGAAAAATGGATTAAAAATCATTCAGCTTTTGAATTAGCCAAAAATAATTTTTGGGGGAAAAAAATTTTTTTGGGGGAAAAATATAGAAAATGTCTGCAAGTGTTTTTGCGGATATTTTTAAAAAATATAGGAAAGTTAAAAAAATTAATCCGCGTAATCATCTCTTATAAAAATCAAGTTTAAAAATCAATACTTGTGTAGTAAGATTGGCGGATCCGGATATCCGAAAAAAGCCGGATACCCGAAAATTCAAGGTTTGGATACAGGATCCAGATATCCGAAGAGGATGAAAAATAAGAGAGAAATTGTTTATTTACCCTATAAATCTAGACTCTAGCAGTCTAAATTTGAACGGCCATAACTCGGCCCAAACTAATTTTGCAAGAAAACCCGCACACAACAAACGTAAATCTAGGGTCCTCTATCGAATGGTACGAAAAAATATATCAAATTCGTACTCACAGTAACATACTGTCCCTTGTGAGTAGATTAACAAGGAAGCCTTTTTACAAACCTTTTTTAGGTCTTTAAGCCTTACAATTAGTTAAAAAAAAGCCCCTTAATAGAGCCACCCCTTATGTCAGTCAAAAAGACCAAGTTTACTCAAGTAACACTATTAAGGCATTCTAGAGAAAAAAATTAAAAAAACCTTTTTAAAATGAATTCTAACATCAGAAGAAAGTTCACACATTTCAGTTACAAGAGTTACTCCAGCAATTAGAACACCGTGATGTTTTTCGTTTAGAAGGGAACGAGTACTCGAAATAAACATTTCAATAAGATCCGGAACTTTTCTAACAATTCGGAATGCACATAAAGCTGCCTAAAAAATTAAAAAATAAAATTGGAAAATGGAGAGGGGTCTGAAATTTTTTTAGTTGGAAAGTGGGGAAAGAAAGTGAAAGTGGGAAGACGAAGCTCGGGAGGAGGCCAAAAAAGACAAATTTAAGAGAAAAAACCTTTTTCTTGATATATGTATTTGTTGATTTCAATAAAAGCTTTTCTGCTTCACCAGCCAAATCTCTACACATTTCTGGAGAACATATAGCCCCAAGAGTACATAGAGCAATTCCTGCTACGAACTGGTCATTGTCGTTTAAATGGCTAAGAAATAATTTTTAAAAAATTAAACAAAAAATATTTTGCCGAAATAGGAAAGGATTTTAGGAATCGTGGTCATTGTTTCGGGGACTGTCAAATTCCCTTGTAAAAAGTGGCCGTAAAACCAGTCCTGGACCAGTTACCAAGGGCGTAGCATGTGGGTCGATTTTTTTTTGGGGGGGGGGGGCTAAAATGAGGAAGGCTAAAAAATTTCCAGGGGGGGGGGCTAAAATGAGGAGGGCTAAAAAATTTCCAAATATTTTTCCCCTATCCACATTTCAGGGAGATGGGCCTCACAAGCTCCCCTGGCTACGCCCTCGACAGTTACTGATAAGTTTGACCTTGGAACCGTAAAAAACAAAAAAAAAACGGGACAATCAAAAAGACTAAAAAACCTCAATCAAAAGGACTAAAGGTAATAGTTTGGAATTCGCCCCCCCTTTTTTTCCTTTCTATTTTTTCTAAGTTTTTTTTCATTTTATGGCAAATTATATATCATTCGAAAGAGCTCTTCAAGCTGAGTCGAATGACGTTAAGATCAACGAAATCCGACTTAAGTAAACAATGTTGTGACCGTTTATTTTATCCCTTTGCATTGACACAAAAAGTTTGCCCAAACTAGGATTTGGCTTCATAATTTTGGTAAGATTGATCAGATTTGGCCAATCATGGTATCATTCGACCACGCTCGAAGAGCTCTTTCGAACGATATATGATAAATTATGTATCAAACAAAAAAGCTCAAAATGGTCAGGGAAACAGTGAAAAAAGGGGGGCGAATTCCAAACTATTACCGGACTAAAAAAAGATTAAAAAACCTTTTCAAGCAATTTGTAACAAGTAAATGAATTTCCGAACGTTCATCCAACAAAAGCATTGCACCTAGATAACCAATACGAATGTCAGTAAAACGCTTTTCTTTGCTGCCAACAAGTTTGATACATTCTACTTGACCAAAATGGGCTTGATATCCGAGCATGTGGATGTAGAGAAGTTTTGCCATATTTCTTTAAAAAATTTCTTAGAATTAGTAGAGGAATTTAAAAAAAAGACGGGGCATGGGCTGTCCAAAAACGATAGGTTCCGGACCCCAAATACTAAACTAGTTTATTGACCAAGGCATGGAGCTCAGGCGCCCAATGACCTTAATACATGAACTCCGGGATAATTGGCATGTGCGTGGAGCCAAGGCAAACCCCTAGACCATAGATCGGCCTGGATCTGGACCAAGGCCTGGGTTTTTCCTGCACCCCGGACTTCCTTGACTAAAGACCTAGGATCCGGGCCAGGTCAATAAATCAAACCCAGAACCCAGGATAGTCTGGCTTTTCCCAAAAAAGAAAAAAACCCCCAGGTTTGGCACAGAATTCCATAATAATATCCTTTCCAAAAATAAACCTGCATTTGTATTTATTGTCCTCATCTCTAAAAAAGTCTCGTATATTTGCACTTTCTCGTTCTACAACAGCACGTTCTTCAGCCGCCGTCCTAGCGGCACGAACTTGGCGAATTAAATCGCGTAAACGCATTGAAGCTCCCAAAGTTCTGAAAAACAAAAATAAATTTATTAAAAATTAACCAAAAAACCTTCCAAGTCTAGACTTGACTTCATCAATTTTTTCGATCGCGACTTCGACAACGTTAGCCATTTAATAAATATCTAAAAATAAAAAAAGTTTATACAAGCACAAAATGATAAAGTAAGAATGACAGTAATAAAATTGTCAATATTGTTCGACTGGATATTTTGAAAATTAGATATTTTAAAATTAACTAAAGTTGGTATTATGAAAATTACCACAATTAAGTCTTGCAGTCATTTTTAGGTTAAATCTTCAGTACGTGTCCGGACAAAATATCGAATCGTTAAAATATGGAATAGGCTAAAAAAGGGTTAAAATCTCGAATCGGGTAAAAATGGGTTAAAATCGCGAATAGGCTATAAAGGGGTTAAAATGTGGAATCGTTAAAATATGGAATGGTTAAAATCGCGAATAGGCTAAAAAGAGGTTAAAATACCGAATCGTTAAAATATCGAATTGATAAATTGTCGACACGGCCAAAATGGGTCAAAATGTCGAATTTTTTTAGAAATGGCGCCAAAACCTAAAATCCGGGCGTTACCGTAATACCGACGGTATTTTTCGGTATTCCGTGTCGGTAGTACGGTAAGGAATGCAGACCGATAAAATTTAAAAGCTAAGCGGTATTTTTCGGTATTCCGTACCGTATACGGTAAGGTACAAAATTTAGGTCTTAATTAAAAACAAGTGACGCCACTCTAATTTTTCCGTATCAGGATCCTGTTGTGTTTTCCGGATCCGCACGATCATTCCGGACCGGATCAGGTCGATTATGCTTGATTTATCCGGTCCAGTTTTACTCGGTAAAATACAGTGAACTCAGGCCGAAAAGATTGCGACGGACTATGACATACGAGACTTATCAATCAAATTATCAAAAATAAGTTGATAAATTTATCAACAATCAATGTATGGCACTCATCTGACCCTTTTTTAAAAGAATTCGACATTTTGACCCATTTTGGCCGTGTCGACATTTTAACCATTCCATATTTTAACCCTTTTTTACCCGATTCGATATTTTAACGATTCCATATTTTAACGATTCGGTATTTTAACCCCTTTTTAGCCTATTCGCGATTTTAACCATTCCATATTTTAACGATTCCATATTTTGTACCGGAGCCCTTCAGTAAACAGAGAAGCAAAAAAGTGAGACGAAAGATAAAAATGAGAGACGAGAGGGGTAAAAAGAAAAAAGTTCGAAAGAATTATGAGTCATCGAGACGGTTAGAGGGGTTTTATAAAAATCAGACAAATTTTTAGCGATTTTTATCGAAGACTTGATTAATTTTTTTGATTTTTTCTAGATAATCTTATACTATTCTTTAATCAAATAACCTCTAATAACCAGAAATGAGTTATAGAGAGCGTGAATTACGCGTTTTTGTTGGGTTTGTTTAAACTCTAGTTTTTTCCTCTAAACTTGTGTTTTTAGAAATTTGCCTCCAGACATCAGACAGAAGGACATTGAAGATATTTTTCAGAAATATGGAAAGATTACTTACATTGATATAAAATCTAAACCTGTTCGAGGACCTCCTTTTGCATTTGTAAGCGATTTTTGCTTAAATTTTTGATTTTTTGATTCAATTTAAGGTCGATTTTGATGACCCTCGTGATGCTGAAGACGCCATTAGAGGAAGGGATGGCTACAATTTTGATGGGTACAGACTTCGTGTTGAATCACCTCGTGGAACTGGCCCCAGTGGTAGAGGAGGGGGAGGAGGTGGTGGTGGGGGCGGCAGTCGATTTTCTGGGAAGGAGCCTCCTCGTGGCCGATTTTATCGTGTTATGGTTACTGGTTTGCCTGCTTCTGGTTCTTGGCAGGATTTGAAGGACCATATGCGTGAGGTTTGTTTGTTTTTACAAGTAAACTCGTAACAACTTGGTTGTTGGGGGTTTGGATTTTAGACCGGCTTAATTGTAAGGAAAATTGCCTAATAAAAGGAGTTAAACGATCTATAGGGAGACGAGGGAAAAGCTAAAGTTATCGACCCAGTAGCTCAGGCACCTGCATAGGTGTAAGGGAGGCCAAACGAGCACGTCAGCGTTGTTGAAGGTTCGAATCCTAACCGTTGACTGAACTTTTGTTTAACTCTTACTTGATGTATAGGCCAGGAACAGCATCTTTTCCGTCTCCGGGTTACTTTCTTATTTTCTTCCGCCTTCTGCTTTTAAAATGCAACAGGGCTTATCCTTGATAGAGGCATGGACATTCAATCGCAATTTGGAGGGGAAAGTGGTGGGTAAACGACTAGACGGTGTGGCACATAAAACTTACTTGCCTTTTCATTTTCCCTCTCTAGGACTTTTCCTCTTAAATAATTTTTCTTAAATTTAAAGGCTGGAGATGTCGTTTATGCGGATGTTTATCGTGATGGAACTGGTGTAGTTGAATTCTCTCGCCATGATGATATGAGATATGCGCTCAAAAAATTGGATGATTCAAAATTTAAGTCACACGAGGTTCTTTTAATTTTTTAATTAAAATTATTAAACCATGTTTTTTAGGGTGAAATTTCTTACATTCGTCTTAAGGTAAGTTAAAAAAATTTAAAACGTGGTTGGGAATTGGTTATTTAGAAATGGATCTGGTGTCCTTATTTTATTTGTTCGGTTCCGAAAACTTTTCTTCAATAGAGCAATGTATTATCCAAGACCCAGTGCCCAAAGGTCCCGAAATCACTAGGGTCATTGTTCTTAAATATCCTGGTTCCGATATGTCCGTATGCAAAATCGATAACAAATTTTTTTAGAAATTTTTTGCGGACAAATTTTGCGAATTAATCTTAATAAAAGTGCTAGGCTCTGTTGACTTTTAAATTTTCTTAATTGTACCCCTTTATGCTTTTATATTTATATCATTTGACTTAACACCTGTTAAACATCCAAAAAATCTTTTGTCCGCAAAACTTGTCCGCAAAAAAAAATATTTTTTTTTAATTTTCGATAAGTGCCCTTCCAGAATTTTTTTTCTAAACCAAAATTTCCCTCTTTAAAACAAAAATTTTATTTTCAAAGGAGGATAATGGTGGTGGCCGTTCCCGCTCATATACGCGTAGCCGTTCTCGTTCACGTCGTGGTTCTCCACGTTATAGTCGCTCTCGAAGCCGAAGTTATAGCCGCAGCCGTTCTCGCTCACGTTCCCGTTCATACTACTAGGAAAAAAAATATATCAAAAATGGAAAAGGAAAATGCATTTGTGTGTGTGGTTTTGGATGGCTCAGGATTCAAGGATCAAAAAATTAAAAAAAATCGGGATCCGTGGATTCTGAGTTTGTTTCTCTTTTTTTATTTAAATATATAAAAATTTTTTGTGTTTTTATCAGCCAAAACAATAATATTATAACCTTAAATCCTTTTTCCCTCCAAAATCTTTCAAAAAATTATATTTAACAAAATTAAAAAGAGGACAATTTTGGGATGATTTTGAGTATATAAGATTTCTGTGAGATAGGCAAAGGCTCCCTGGGGTTATAGAAATTAAGAGAGGATTCATATTTTGTGAAGGTCTATTTAGACAATGTCAAGGATTACTTGAAACAAAGACTTTTTTCGACCCGAAACTCTACCCACTTTTTCCTCAACCCATGGGTGGTTTTACTTGGACTTAGGTATTAAGACTACTCTCGGCCCTAATAAAAATAATATCAACTTTGACCATTATTGTCCTCTTGGCTTTGGTAATAGGTTTTTGGTGTGTTTATTAAAAAATTTTTTTGTCGCCCCTTATTTAAACGAATAAAAAGAGCAAAGACACTTTTATTTTTTATTAAATCTATAAAAATATTTTCAGCCTCACTCGGATATCAAGGATTTCGAGGAGAGGCAAACACAAACAAACACAAAAACAAACATGGACACAAAAGGATTTTGGGAAAAAGTGTGTGTTCATGGACAGGAATTTTTTGGTAAATGATATGGAAAGGAAAGGAGACATTTCAGGCCTGAAAATTGATTTTCTGAAATTTTTTAAAAATTATAGAACTTTTTGAATACCTATAACTTTTTTAAAAATATTTTAAGAATTTAACATTTATTAATTACAAAATTTTGTATTCTGTAATAAAACACCTTTGTTAGTTAACCTACCCTCCACGTTAACCCTTGACTTAAAATTTTTGAAAGGGAATATCAAGGGAGTTGGAGGATTAATGGGAACCTTTATGTAAAGTGTACACCCCTTTCATTGTCATTTTTTATTCTTGAATAAATAAATTTAAATTAAAACATTTAAAATAAATAATTTTGCTGAAATTACCAGTTTAAATATAATCAAAAATATTCAAAAATACCCCTTCTTTCAAAAAAATTTTTTTTCTCACCACCCTTCTTTATTTTCTTCACTTGTAACAGAAGTATTTTCATCTACACCAACAGCTTTTGAAGTTGTTACCATTAAAAGAAGACTAGCCAGTTTTGTTTTGACTGCCCCAATTTTTTGTGTTGGATCGTCCTTTGCAGCTGCTCGAACCTTTAATTTTGAAATTTTTAAAAAAATTTTAAAAAATCCAAAAAAAATTTTTTACTTGTAAAATAAACCCTTCATCTTCATATTTACGACCATTATATTGCTCAATTACTTGAACGGCATGAAATTTATTAGCAAATTGAATGAGTGTTTCTCCCCCTTCCATATATTGGACATTTAATGGACGAAAATTAGAAAATAATGAAGCAATTTGGTATTTGTTGAAATTGGGTGGATAACCTTTAAAAAACAAAAAAATTAAATTTTATAGTTTAATTTTAGCCTTAATTTGCCCCTTTAATTATTTTGCGCTCGAAAAATCCCCACACAACAAAAAAAGCTTACGACACCCCCGATTCCCAGGACGTCTCCGTTCCAAGTACTAAGGAGGCCCAGCGTTGCTTAACTTGCCAGATCGGACGGGATGGCGTGCTTTCAACGCGGTATGGTCGTAAGCAAAAGAGAATATAATTTTATTTATTATATAGAATAGAGAAACCCCACCCCATTAGTAACAAAATTTTGAGTGGCAACAGAATTTTAAAAATTAAAAAAATTTTAATTGCCGCAAAGAAGTTAAAAATAAAAAAATTTAAAACCTTTAACCAACACTTCATTCTCCCTTCCAATTTCATTACCAGAATTTAAATCACGAACATTGAAAGGTTTGTTGTTATTGTTTGTCTGTTGAGGACGGCCACCAAAATTCTCTGAAAAATTTTTTAAAATTATTTAATGAAAATTTTCAATATATTTTTATTTAAAAATATTGAACGGTCTTTTTTTGGTGTTGCCCAGAAAATTTTACTTAAAAATCAGAAAAAAATTTTAAAATTTAGAAATCGAATGTAGACCACCCTTTAAAGCCAAAAAACTTAAAAAGGAAAATTAAAAAAATTTTTGGAAGGGAAATGACCGAAAGTGAACAACACCCCCTAAAATTCTAAATTATAGGTTGCGGCTCGGACCCTTCCCTTTAAAGCCAAAAAATTCGTCAGTACTTGTGTAGTTTCCATCCCATAAGCCACCCGGAGCCGAGTCTTATCGCCATAGTGCAAGATCTGTGGACCAAATGTCACTTTAGCAAAGAAAAGGAAGAGAAAAAAAAGGGCGGGGTTTATGGGACGGAAACTACACAAATACCATCGCAGTCCCCCTCCTTGTTAGCGGCATAGGACAAGATCCACCCCGAAGATCCCCCAATTTAAAATTAAAAAAAAATTAAAAAAAAAACTCTGAAACGACGAATGTAAAACAACATCCACACACTGTTCAAAATTATTATCAGCATTAAACGAAGGCGAACGACGATCAAATTTATTATTTTTATTTCCTTCTCCTCCCAAAAAAAGATTTGTAGCATTAGCCCCAGTTGCAACAGTTAAACGATAATTGTCTTTTCTAGTATATTTTTGAAAATTTTTTGAAGAATAATTTGAAGGATTCCCTCCTCCTTCTACTCCTTTTGTTTGCTCTAATTTTGTGTTTTTTGAAAAACCCCAATCTTTATTTTCGGCTTTTTGACCGTTATTATTTGACCAAATATCACCAGAAATTCCCTCATCTTTTTCTTGTTCTGCACTAAAAAACTAATAATAACGAGAGGCTTTTTTCGTTAAAAAAATTTTCGTAGAAATTTATCAGACCTCCCCCCCCCCCCCAAAAAAAACTTTAGAAAGTTGGACTTAATTAGGTGAATACTCTTTAGAGCCGAAAAAAATTCCTATGCCAAAATATAGTGTAGAGTATGGACGCTCAAACAGTTCTCCCTTCATCAGGGCTGTCCGCAATTGCGACTGCGGACAATTTTTTAAATTTGCGGACAATTTTTCCGTTTGCGGACAGCCATGCTTCCCTTTGTGTCCAACCACATTTTTAAAAAATTACACTAAAATTTGTATATAAATTGGTGGGGCTATACATAAATGAGGTATGATTGAATTAGGAAAAGGTTCTTTAAATACTCCTAGACTTAAAAAAATTTTTTTAATAAGAAAAATTTTCAACGTTCGCCGCGCTGTAATCTGTGCAAGACGTCTCCCAATCCATTGATTCATGTTTGCCATAACCTCATCCAATTCATAACATTTAAAGTGAGCAAGAGCATTTTCGGCAAGAACGCCTAAAATTTTTTTTTAATTTTTTCATTACCCAGGTAAGGGACCGAGAGTACTTTTAAGTTAAATTTTTTTCGTCTTTACATTACCGTAAATACCAAAAACAAAATTTTCTAATTTCAAATATGTGCCACGATTCACAAAAAAAAGTCCGTAGCCATTCTTTTATATTTCTAGTGTAGTCCTCAAAAAATTTTTTTTTCAAATTTTCAGAAAAAATTCCAGATTTACCCTATTAAAGTCCAAATAATTATTTAATCAAAAATAAAGGACCCATAAAATCCACTTTTTTATATTTACAAGTGAAGTCCGCAAATGATGTCCGCAAATATTTTTTCCAAATTTGCAGAAAATCCCAAATTTAAGAGAAGGTAACCCCCTTAGGAGGCAACACCTAACCCAAGTTTAAACACATTCCAAAGAAGTATTTAACCAAAAAAAACCTTGTCCAACAAGCGCCCCAGCCAAAGTATGTTCCTTCAAAACTTGATATTCCAAAGAATCCTTGCTCGGCAAAATGTGAATAACATAAATAACTTGTGGATGTTGTTTAGCTATAGTTTCGTAACATTCACGAGATTGGTCGATTGAACCAGGAATTGCATGTCTTTTTAAATAAAACAAAATTAATTAGGGAAAAAGGATTTTTTTGGTAAAATGCGGATTGCGTGTTTTTGATTTGCGGACTGCAAAAAAGCCTGAATAAAAAAATCTTTCCCATGACAAAAATAATGGAGAATAGGGAGAAATGAAAAGTGCTGTCCCTAAACGATACTACTACGAAGACGCCTGACATCAGCTTATTTCTACAAAACGTCGTTTTTGCGGATAAAGTCCGCAAAAATGGGGTGTGTCCGCAAAACAAAGTGTTGTCCGCAAAAATTGAGTTAAATATGGTCCCCAAAATCCCCACTATTTCCAGGGATTCAGGAGATTCAAGGTTAAAAATACTACACAAAAACATTAGTTGCTCTGTCCCAACCCCTAAATAACCTCTTATTTAACCAAAAAACCTCACAAAACAAATGTCGGAGTCTCATCAAATCTGTGTCCAAGTTGCAATTTTGAGGCGCTAATTTCCAATTGATTAACCATCCAAATACTAAAGTCACTAAATTAGAAAAAAAAGTTTATGGATTAAAAAAAAATTAAAAAAAACATGTATTCCTTCACATTTTCTTGGTCATCAATTGAACAAATTAATCCCCATTTCATTTCTGCTGAAGCTTCCATTTTTTTAAATAAAATTTAAATTTAACAAAATAATTTAAAGACTAAATCTAAAATAGAAAAATTAAAAAACCCTAACTCAAGGAACGGACAACTCAAGGAACGGACAACTCACAGAACAAAAAACTAATGCCCGGCGCCGATCCGGTCCCAAACTTTTCCGGAGTCCGGTCCCAAATCCGGGTTTTTTTGCGATTTCCGGATTTTTTCCGGACCGGATTAATCCAGAAAAATCCAGCCAGAACCGGTCCGGTTCCAAGTTGCAAATCTGGATCAGGAAAAATCGATTTTACCGGGCACTAAAGAAAGTAAACGAGAACAAGAAAACTCAGAGTTTAAATAAAGTTTTCCCACCAGAATTTCATTTTGGTAACTTAGAAGAATAATTCAAAACGTCAAATAGACAGAACAATAAGGGGTCAGTTCAGTCCCGGATAGGGGTGAGCGCATGGTGTACGGAATTTTCGTCTCTGGAAATTTCGTCTCCAAGACTTTTCGGAACTTTCGTCTCCAACATTTTCGGAATTTTCGTCTCCAGCGGAATATTCGTCACTAAGGAAATAAACGGAATTTTCGTCTCCGCAATTTTCGTCTCCGCTAGGAATTTTCGTCTCCAGAAAAAATGATCTGGTCCGTCAACGGGGATGTTGTTCCGTCAACGGAGGAAGTTGTCCGTCAGCGGGGGATAGTGTTCCGTTAACAGGGATGTAGTTCCGGCAACGGGGGAAGTTGCCCGTCAACGGGGAAAGTTTTCCTCTGGAGACGAAAATTCCTAGCGGAGACGAAAATTCCGTTTATTTCTTTGGTGACGAATATTCCGCTGGAGACGAAAATTCCGAAAATGTTGGAGACGAAAGTTCCGAAAAGTCTTGGAGACGAATGTTCCAGAGACGAAAATTCCGGCACTCGAGCGCATTGCGTTATTTGCGTTAAATTTTGCCGTTTTTTTAGATTGTCTCTTGCGCTCACTCCTGGTCCCGAACTCTATAAATTCTGAAATGTGGGATATTTACTTTCGTTCTTGGTACTATTGAAACTATCTAACAACAACAAAGTTTTAAATTTAAACTAAAATTTTATACAAATCTAAAAATAGGAATTGTAAAAAAATGTTAAATGAAAAAAAAAACAGTTTTTAAAATAGGGTTGTCGGTAGGGTAGCCTCAAGGCTCACAAAAATACAAAGGTTTGACCATTTCGAAGAGCTCTATCAGTAATACTTTGGAAGTCGCCCACTTTTTCCTTTCTATTGTTTCCCAGGAGCTTATCGAGCTGAATCGAATGATACTAAAATAAACAAAGCTCAAAATGGTCAGGGGAACGCGAAAAAAGTGGACCGACTTCAAAAGTATTAACCTGATATGTATCTTAATGACCATATGGTATAATATTTACAGGGGGCATTAAAAGGTCAAAAGTTTTTAAATAAATAATGGTGGTGGAGTTAATGGGGGGTGGGAGGGGGAGGTGGTTATCTTTTAGAATGGTTGTTTAAAAAATGAATAAAGTAAAGCAGCTGGGCTATAGCTATTTCTCTCCTTCAGCTAGTGCAAAAGAGTTTATCTTGGCTGGGAGCGAACCAGCATCTTTAGTAGACCGGACTGATGTGTCTGCTGCACAACCTTAGGAATTAAATAGCTATATGCTTTACAATGAAAAATAATTGTTTAGTTTTGGGTATATACAATGAAATTTTCCTTCATTTTTTCGTTTTGCTTTTTTCCTTTTTACATTTTTTTGCTTTTTGTACTCCTTTAATCAGTTTTTTTAATCTCAGTCTTTTTCAACTCGTCCATTAACATTTTTGTTAAATCATTTTCTTCGTTGTTTTCGTTGTATTTTTTGATAGCAAAAATTGCTTTCTCAACATCATCCAAGCCTTTAAATTTTTTAATAAAAATATTAACATAACTCATCTTAAGTTATCAACCAAGAATATTTATTAAGTCAGAAAATAGGTTCGAACAGGGTTTCAAAGATAGTAACATTTAAGGTACAAAATTGGAGTATAAGGCCGAATAAGGCCAATTAAGGCTATCAATATTGAGTAAAAAGGAACAAAGAACGAATTCTGAAACTTCTTTCATCCTCGAAATCTCAAATCTCACAAATCTACAGGAAATGGGGCTACAGTACTTCAAAAAATATTTTAGCTCCCCAGAGCTTATATAGAATTTATCTTTTAAGCTTATTTGAAAGCCCTTGAAATTTGCTACAAAATGCCTCTTGGCCTCAAAGTAAAAAAATTTTGTTTAGGAGTCATTAATTCTAAAGTCAATAATTCTACAACAAACTTGCCTTCATGTAATACAGGAGTATCGTTTACATTCACAAAAATTGCCGAATCCTCTTTCTTTTTAAACAATTTTACTGCATTTTCTTTTCCATAAACTTTTAGTAAACATGGTTTCCCAATTAAACTGTTTTTGTCAAAATAAAGAATGTGTTCGTCTTTGTCATGAATTGTCTCAACTTTATTGCTAGTACTTGCTTCTCCTTTTTCTTCTTTCGTAAATAATTTTTTAACTTTATCTTTAATGTCTAACAAACAGGAGAAGCAATTGACTTCAGTTTCTTCTTCCTTTTTTGCTTCCTTTTCTTCTTCCTTTTCCTTACTCAATTTAATTGTCACCTTCGGTTTGACTTCATATCCGTATATTTCACCAAGTAAATGATAAAATAGAGCTTTAAACCATTCTTCTTTTAATTCAACGATAAAATCATCATATTTTTCCAACATCTTTTTACGTTCATCTTTCATTTTTAAAAGCCCTCTGTCAGAAAATTTACTATGTTCAATTATCTTTGCCTCCTTTTCTTCCCAGATTTTCTCTTGCTCATTTCTTATGTTGTCTAATTTTTCTTTCAATTCTTTATTGTTTTTTCTTTTAATTTCATTTATTTTTTCCCATCTTTCATTTCTATAGCTTTGTATTTCTTCCCCAATTTTCATATATTTCTCCCGTATTTCTTTTAATTTTCCTTTCAAGATTTTCTCCTGTTCATTTCTTATCTTTTTTAATTTTTCATCCAATTCTTTATCATTTTTGTGACTTTCATCATCGATAGTATATTTTTTCCATTTTATTTTAAATTCCTCATCATTCATCTCTCTCAATTCTTCCCTTTCATTCTTAACTTCTTCAATTAATTCAACAATTGCCATAGGTGTATCTGACTCGATTTGTATTGCTTTCTCTGTCTCAAATATTTTAACAGAAATTTTATGCGTTCCAACATCGAAACAAATATTTTCTCCCAGGGATATTTTATAAACGTTGCCTGTTCTAGTCAATGAACTTTTTGATTCATTTCCTTCCCCTTTCATACCAGAACGAATCAAACGAACTATGTGATAATAACGATTTCTAATTTTTTCTGAAAGGAAAAATGATTCTCTAATCAATTTTTCTAAATCTTTTAAATTCTCTAAAATTATCGTTTTCAGTTTTACGGTTTTTTGATTTTCTTTTAATATTTTTTTGTCATTTTTCTTGTTGAGGATAACGGCACCATATTCAATTTCTTTAATAAAATCACAGAAAAACAAATCAAAAGGAATTTCATCATTTTTCTCATTATCTAAAATAGCCGCTGGCTTTTCGTTAGCAGCATTTATGTCCAAAATTTTTGAATTAATTTTCGCTTCCAAAGATGATTTCACGTTTTTCTTTCCATTCTCCTTTGTTTTTACATATTTTGACAAAACGTTTAAACGCTCGATGTCAAGGCGCATTCCATCATTTGTTTCATATTGATTACTAACAACGGTTACATTCATTCCCGCTTAAAATTGTTTATATTGAATATAAAGCGGAATAGCATAACTACCATTGCCTATTTATTAAATAAAAATTTAAAAATATTTCTACTAAGATACTTTTCCTAGTTTGTAAATTAATTAATTTTAATTTTATAAAACAATTAAAAATACCCATAAAAAGCTTAAAAGCAGCGTTCAAACCAACTGGACCAGAGAACTCCACAATTACATTTTTATATTCTTTTTTCAATTTCTCTTTATTCTCCAAATGCTTATTGTAGATCTCCTCATTAGTGGCTATAAAAAATAATATAACCGTATAACCTATATTAATTGTCCTCCCTCAAATAATTACCCCATTTAAATTAATTACCCCATCCAGCAATAGATTGAAGCAATAATTACCCCCCTCCCCCCAACCTAGGGTGTCCACAACCGGTTTTAAATATTAATACCTTCATCCAGATTGTCTGGAGCAGCGCCAACATTGAAATTCAAAACGAGAATTAAAGCAAAAATTGACAACAATTTTGCTTTGTCTCGCATTTTTTTGTTAAAAAACAAATTTCCTTCAATAGAAGTGATTTTTAATTAAAAAATTTTTTTTGAATTAACTGATTATGCTAGGGGGTAAATAATTGTTTATATATGGACAAAATCGACGGACTTATTGCTATACCATATTGATTGAATGTCGATAATTTTTTCAAAATTTACTAAAAATTAGAGAAAAATAAATTAAAATAGCATTGAAAATATTAATTTTACGTGTTAAAATCTATTAAGAAAAATCAAGGGAGTGCGCGTACACAAAAAATTACAAACATTAAATACATTAAATTGATTTTTAAAAATTCATATGATTAAATGTACGTAATTTTATTAAAAAAATTTTTTTTAATTATGTATAAAGCGGTAAAGAAGAGTCTGAATCCTCAATTTCCCGTTAATCTTGTTTGTTATTTGTTTTGTTTAGATTTAAAACTAGAGTAAAGCAGCTGGGCTATACATAGCTACTTCTCTCCTTCAGCTAGTGCAAAAGGTTAATCAGTGGCTGGGAGCTACTCATTGGCGTTATTAAAAGTTTAAAGTCAATTTATAAGTAAAAATTCAATTTTTCATGGAGATGGAGGTGTAAAGCATATAGCTATTTTTCCGATTAATTCCCCTGGGGAATTATTTTTTCAACCCTTCCCTAGCATGGGTAATTTTATTAAAAAAATTTTTTCCGATTAATTCCCCTGGGGAATTAATCTAGCCACTGATTAACCTTTTGCACTAGCTGAAGGAGAGAAATAGCTATGTATAGCCCATCTGCTTTACTATAGTTTTAAATCTAAACAAAACAAATAACAAACAAGATTAACGGGAAATTGAGGATTCGGACTCTTCTTTACCGCTTTATAATGTAAAAAAAAATTTTTTAAATAAAATCACGTTCATTTAATCATATGAATTTTTAAAAATCAATTTAATGTATACGTAAAATCAATTTAATGTTTGTAATTTTTTGTGTACGCGCACTCCCTTGATTTTTATTAATAGATTTTAACACGTAAAATTAATATATCCAATGCTATTTCTTTTTCTCTAATTGTTAGTAAATTTTGAAATAAAAATACAAAGAAAATACAAAAAACACGTTTTATTAGCTAAACACAATAATTATTTTTTATTTAACTTTCTAAACGAACATTCAAATACACAAATACCACAATTATTTTTTTAAATAGGGTATCGTTTCAGTATACACTCTGAGCCGAGCTACCATACCGTCACTCTATTCAAAAATTATTTTTTCATTTATTTAAGTTTTTATAATTTCATTTTTTACATTTGCATAAAATTTTTTGTAGAAAATTTAAAAACTTTGTTGTTCAAAATCTTCAAAAATTCAGTTTATATTTTGAAGATTTATTATTATTATAAATTGAGCAGTCATCATTCGACAATTGAACCCTGACCTTCTGTTAGAAAACACACGCCTCCTTTGACTTCTTTTGTTTTTGAGTTTTAAGGCCTTTCTTGAAGAGCATAACTATTGTCTCGATGTTTAGCGAAAACACAGAGGCGATTACTAAATCAGCAATATTTTTGCTGCTTGTGTTGCATTTTTGGAATTTTTATTGATGGCGTAAAGACTTGAAATTTCTCCAGAGTTAGTGACCTTCTAAAAATCATCAATAAAAAAGTTTTTATTACATATCGGCTTTGTATAAGTTTAAAACCTTTGGTCAATTGTGCCTATATTGTGAACTGTTGTTTTTGTGTCTAGTGCCAAATTTAATAAATATAAAATTAACTCTTATAAAACTAAAAACATTGCCAATGAATTAAACAAATTTTGGTTGCCTCTTATGCTTTTGGTAAACGAATTGTTTAAAAAGTAAAAGGAGTCTTTTCCGGAACGTCTCGGTTAGTCCTGGCGGCTGAGTCCCGCTGTCATATTTTGGGCCATAACTTTTTTAATTCCTAAAAAATATGATAATTAATAACTATCTCATCGAAAGCTATTGATATAAGGATTGATTTGGATTGAATGATCTGATTGATTGATAGAATCAGGTCAACATATAATGAGACTTTTGAAGTCAGATAATTTTTTTGTTCTTGGTACCATTGGAACTATCTAACAACAACAAAGATTTTTAAATTTAAAACTAAAATTTTATACAAATCTAAAAATATGAATTTTAAAAAATGTTGAATAAAATGAAAAATTGTTCTTGAATAGGGTTGTTGGTAGGGTAGCCTCAAAGCTCACAAAAATACAAAGGTTTGACCATTTCGAAGAGCTCTATCAATAATACTTTGAAAGTCGCCCCTTTTTTCCTTTCTATTCCATATATGTAATTTTTCCATATAATAAATTACCGTGTGGATTCTCTAATAGAATGTCCTTTTTTAGCGAAAAAATAGAATGGCTACTTCTATTTGAATTGTAAAAAGATGGCCGACTTCTAAAGTATTACCCTGATATCTTCAAGGCTATTTGGATTGATATTTACAGGGGGCATTAGAAGGTCAAGTTTTTAAATCAATAATGCTGGTGGAATGAATGGGGGGATGTTTTAGTTCGTTAAAAAATTGGATAAAATAAAGCATCTAGGCTATAGCTATTCCTCTTCTTCAGCTAGTGAAAAAGGTTAATCGGCGTCTGGGAACGAACCAACGCCTTCATTAGACCGGACTGATATGTTATCCATTACACCACTCCGCTTACTGCACAGCCTTTGGAATTAAATAGCTATATGTTTTACAATAAAAAATAATTGTTTAGTTTGGATAAATATACAATGGGATTTACTTTTCTTTTTTCTTTTTTTCATTTTTTACATTCCTTTCCCTTTTACACTTTCCTTTTTGCATTCTTCGAATCAGTTTTTAATCTGTCTTTTTCAACTCGTCCATTAACATTTTTGTCAGATCACTTTCTACTTTGCTTTTGTTGTATTTTTTGATAACAGAAACTGCTTTGTCAACATCGTCCAAGCCTTTAAAATATTTAAACAAAATATTAACATAAATTATCTCCATTTATCAAACAATATTTATTAAGTTCAGAAAATAGTATCGAACAGGGCTTCAAAGATAGTACCACTTAATGTAAAAAATGTGTAGTAGAATACAAAATAAGGCCAATTAAGGCTATTAATATTGAGTAGAAAGGAACAAAGAACGAAGTCTGAAACTTCTTTCCTTATCGAGATCTCAAATATCAAAAAATCAACAGGAAATTGGGTTACAGTACTTCAAAAAATATTTTAGCTCCCCAGAGCTTATATAGAATTTTTCTTTTAAGCTATTTTGAAACCTTTTGAAATTTGCTACAAAATACCTCTTGGCCTCATAGGTGTAAAAAATTCTGTTTATGAGATAATATATAACGTGCCTTTTTAGCTGGTACGGAATCATACCTCACTCATAACTTGGGATAACTTTATAAAACCAGAATAAGAATTATTTCAATTCTAAAGTCATTAATTCTACAATAAACTTGCCTTCATGGATTTCAATAGTCTCTTCATCGTTTAAGTTCACAAAAATTGCAGAATCTTTTTTTCCTTTAAACAATTTTACAGTTTGCGTTTTTTTAGATTGTCTCTTGCGCTCACCCCTGGTCCCGAACCCTATAAATTCTGAAATGTGGGATATTTACTTTCGTTCTTAGTACCATTGGAACTATCCAACAACAACAAAGATTTTAAATTTAAAACTAAAATTTTATACAAATCTAAGAATATGAATTTTAAAAAATGTTGAATAAAAAAATTGTTTTTGAATAGGGTTGTTGGTAGGGTAGCCTCAAGTCTCACAAAAATACAAAGGCTTTATCAGTTCGAAGAGCTCTATCAGTAATACTATGGAAGTCGCCCCCTTTTTTCTTTCTATTGTTTTCCCAGTTTTTCTCATTTTATGGCAAATTATTCGAGCTGAGCCGAATTATTCGAGCTGAATCGAATGATACTAAAATAAACAAAGCTCAAAATGGTCAGTGGAACGCGGAAAAAAGTGAACCGACTTCAAAAGTGTTAACCTGATATGTATCTTAATGAACATATGGTATAATATTTACAGGGGGCATTAAAAGGTCAAATGGTTATGTTTTAGAATGGTTGTTTAAAAAATGAATAAAGTAAAGCAGCTGGGCTATAGCTATTTTTCTATTTCAGCTAGTGCAGAAGGTTGATCGTGGCTGGGAGCGAACCAACATCTTCAGTAGACCGGACTGATGTGTTATCCATTACACGTTGCCTACTGCACAGCCTTAGGAATTAAATAGCTATATGCTTTACAATGAAAAATAATCGTTTAGTTTTGGGTAAATACAATGGGATTTTCCTTCCGTTTTTCCTTTTTCTTTACTTTTTACACTTTTCTTTGCTTTTTGCATTCTTCCAATCAGGTTTTAATCTGTCTTTTTCAACTCTTCCATTAACATTTTTGTTAAATCATTTTGTTCGTTGCTTTTGTTGAATTTTTTGATAACAGAGACTGCTTTCTCAACATCATTCAAG